CGTGGCCCTATAGGGAGCCCCACCGAGGGTTCCAGTTGCTGCGTTCGCATGGCGGCACCGCGCCCATTTCGGCACACCCCTCACACGGTTCGTGGCCCCATAGGGAGCTCCACCGAGGGCCCCAGAGGCTGCGTTCGCATTGCGGCACCGCACTTATTTCGGTACACCCCTCACACGTTTCGTGGCCCCATAGGGAGCTCCACCGAAGGCTCTAATGGCTGCGTTCATATGGCGGCACCGCGCCCATTTCGGCACAACCCTTACACGTTTCGTGGCCCCATAGGAGCTCCACCGAGGGCTCCAATGGCTGCGTTCGCATGGCGGCACCGCGCCCATTTCGGGACACCCCTCACACGTTTCTAGGCCCCATAAAAAGGTCCACCGAGGGCCCCACTGACTGCGTCCGCATGGCGGCACCGCGCCCATTTCGGCACACCCCTCACACGTTTGTTGGCCCCATAGGGAGCTCCACCGAGGGCCCCAGTGGCTGCGTTCGCATGGGGGCACCGCACCAATTTCAGGACACCCCTCACACGCTCGTTGGCCCCATAGGAAGCTCCACCGAGGGCCCCACTGACTGCGTCCGCATGGCGGCACCGCGCCCATTTCGGCACACCCCTCACACGTTCGTTGGCCCCATAGGGAGCTCCACCGAGGGCCCGAGTGGCTGCGTTCGCATGGCGGCACCGCACCAATTTCGGCACACCCCTCACACGCTTCGTGGCCCCATAAGGAGCTGCACCGAGGGCCCGAATGGCTGCGTTCGCATGGCGGCACCGCACCCATTTCGGCACACCTCTCACACGTTTCGTGGCCCCTTACGGAGTTCCCTCTCATTCGTTCAACCTGATTTGCGGTACTCGTAACTGCATATGGTTGGGTCCATCGCCAGGATATTTTTTTTGTTCTGATATTTTGGTTTGTTTCAAGCCTTCTCTTTTGGTTTGTTGTGCGTTGATAGCCTTGCCCAAACAAAATCAGCGCGACCGACGCGCCACAACTCATTCCAAAATCGTCGCGCCCCAACAGTACAATATTGGATATGGCTGCCTTGTTATGATTCGCTGCAAGAGGTATCAACCTTTTGGCACTCTCGTGGCATATTTAGCAGGGGGCGAAAAAGGGTTGCAGATAAAACGAACGACAGAACTACATGTTCACTGCGAAATCTATCGTGTATATATATATATATATATATCATCGTGTATGTGTTCCCTTAGTTCTTTCCACCCAATATTGTGTTATTTTCTTTCTGTTTGTTGTCCCCTACTCAACCAGCGATGCATGCCCGACGGCATTATTGAACGGATGTTTGCCGCGGCAGAAAATGCAATGGAACAGCTGGAAGATTTTTTTCAGCGAAGGGGGTAACGTTCAAAACAACACATTCAAAAACACATAAGCAAACAACTCAATACGCCCTCCGAAATTTCGTGTAAAATTGCTGCAGATTTCTGCCGATCGGAAATTTCGCGAACGGCGGCGGCACATTGTTCTTCTGTCCCGCGCGGCTTCGGACAGCAAATAAAAAATCACGGTTCCGCAATTTGTATTGTTATTGTTCTCAACGGAAACTATTTTGCGAATGTGAATACAAAATCGCGAAATTATAGTTGAATGAAATGTTTTCGGATTCCTCCGGTTTATGAGCCGCAACCTTCGGCGTGACAAGCGTCTGATGGCCGCGCCGGGTTGCCTTCGCAGGCGGGCGCGTGCAAGGTGACAAAGCTGCGGCGCAAGGGAGGAGGGCAAAGAAGAAGAGGAGGAAGAGGAGGAAGAGGAGAAAGAGGCGAAGGAAAAGGGAGGAAGAAAGAGGACAGCTGAGGGGAGAAAAAGAAAAAGCACCCGCGCAGCTCGAGCACGGGCGGAGGCGGGAACGCAACAAGAACGCCCGGAAAAACACCGCGCAGGAAAAACAATGGGCAATGCTGGGAACCCATAGAAAAGGCAGAGACCCAATGCGCCGGGCAACGCGCCAGGAAACGGCAAAATATCAACCGAACAAACAAATAATCCAAGCGAGTTGCGGAAAAGGTGTTGGAACCAACGTCGCTATTGTTCGCAACGTTGAAACCAGGTGTTCGCCATTGAAGCAAATTTTCGTAATTATCGAAACCAGTGTTTGCATACATTGAATACAGCGCTCAATTAAAACAGTGTTCGGTTGCTGAAACCGCTGCGCCCCAACTGCGCGCGGGCACAAAAAAGAAAGGCGACGCGCCAAAACGTGCAATAACAAACGGTTATTCGTCAAACGCGTTCCCAAACCGCGCCCAACTGGCCTGGAAAACTTGATGCTGAAAACCATGCAACTGTTTTCTTGTCTCGGAATGTCTCCATCACAGTCAGGGAAACAAAGAGAAACAATTGTTAACAATTCTGTTACCCATTCTCTTCTTGGTCTTCCCCGCGCACGTTTTCAGTCAGCGTAACGGGGAGTATCATGTTGAAGCGTTGCTGCACGCAACGCATGAGTGTTAGGGCTTGGGCCAATCTTCCCGAATAGCTGATGTTGTTGGTGCAATAGTTGCGATATGTAGGGTAGCTGTTGGCTTCTCTCCAGAGCGGTATTGTTTGATATTACAGAAAGGAACGAATGGGGAATCTCCAGTACTTTCCTGAGGCAGTTCGCATGGAAGCTGTCCAATCGTTGTCTTTCGGCTTTGTCGAACCATGCCGGACATATGGGATCCATGATTTTGCTGTGTGATCATCGCCTGGTGGATTTGAAAATTCCTTTTGAAGCTGATTGAAGTGTGCGTCCATACTTTCGTATATTTGCGAAACTCCCTCCAGGCTCGCCCCAGTCGTTTGTTTAATTCCGCATGTATGTGCCCAGTACTGTTGATTGTAGCCCCGAGGTACACTACAGAGTCTTTTGCTTGCATCTCTTCCCCGTGAGGCGTCATTTATTCCATCTTGTTGTGCATAAGCTGAAATTTATCTCAAGGCAAATCCATGACAACTCGCCCCGCCGCTGTAGCGACCGCAACCAAACACATCTTACTGGTTTCTGGCATACATCGAATATCGTCCGCGTGCAACAGCATTGATAAACTACTACTTTTGAGTGGCACTTTTGATTGTTCGCTAAGGAACCCCACCGCATCAGTTAAAAGGCCTGTTGAACTTAACCTACTGTTGGGTTCCAGAGACTGGTGGAGATATCCGAATCACAACTCGATGAAAAAGGCTAAGGGCAAATTCCGCACTTCGCCGAACTCTGACACGAACCCTTTCGTAAATTAAGACAAGCACTAACGTGATGCATTGCGCACCAAGCCGATGTTGCTGACCTCCTGGTATGACACATGCGGGTTCCGTGGATGAGCCTGCATAAACCGCCATCATGTGGAACACCATGCTGCGATCAGTCGCCGAAACTTTAACAATTAAAACCACATCCCGCACAATCGCATTGGCAATTGTGAATGTTACGCCCATATATATAGTAGTAGTACATGCCGTGCACATTCGCATTTCAAACGCTTGTATTTGGAATGCTAGGAAACGGTTGAATACCGCATAATGCAATCTTCGAGGGCGTCCGCGGGAAATTTTGCTGTGTGGTGGGAGGGGTCGTCAAGTATGGTTGGGTCGCGGAGCTGCGCAATCATAGAGTAACAACCATGCCGCTTGCGTTGACGGGAGTTTAGGATTAGCTGCATTAAATGTCCAGTGGTGCGCCTGCGATCTTGATTCCCTGGTCCTGTAGTGATGCATCACATTTGCATTCTTCGGGAGCTATGTCGGCCAGATCTGGCAGGCACGGGGCTGATGTATTCCCCCAAATGACTAGTTTACCATTGTGCACATCGATACGGCATACATTGCCTAAGACATCGTGCGCAATAAATGACGCATCGGATGGGTCGCGGCACGCATGCACATCATCCATGTAGGCAATCAATGGTTTCTGCCCCTCGCGGTAACCGCGGGCAGATCTCTGCGAGTGCTAGATGCAATGCGTGGCTCAATAGTCCTGCATGACCTTGTCGAATGCATCGCGTTAAATGACACGTTGCGACGGTTGGTGGCGAAAACGCTGGCACGACAATACCAAGTGGAATTCCGACGACACGTGGAACAATCTAATTTGGAGTGTCAAATCATACTGGAACAGACGTTGCTGTCCACATGTTGCGGTACCTGACCGACGCCCACCCGGGCAATATCATTATCAACATCGATGGGGTGGGGGCGTATTCGATTGTCTGGCTTATCAAGTGCAGTAAGGGGCGAGATGCGCAGCACATTCGCGACTTGCCATGGTATTCTTGCTTGCGCAAAATGATTTCAGCCACATCGCACAACGATTGAGAACCCACTCCGTCCTCCAAAACAGAGGCACCTTGGCTTGCTGTGGCTTGTCCACAGATGGTCCGACCTGGAAATAGACAGAGCACACGCGCCCCATGAGCATGGCACGAGCCTCAACGAGTTGCAGCGTGCGCGCAGACTACTCCCTGCCGCGCAGCCGACGCCGCCACGCACGCGGGTCGGGGAGACGTAAGAGTCGACCGGGTTCGGGGGAGTCGGTTGGCCTGACGGGGCCGTGAAGAGAACGACGAGACCCAATCTGAAATCTGTTGCGAGCTCCCGCTGCTAACATCCTACGAAGACTTCGCCGTCAAACTTCAGGACGGGCCCATAAAAAAAAACGTCGGCAAAGCCGAGTTCCTGCGAGCTCGACCATTCCTGGAACAAGAAACAACTGCTTAAACATAAAGTTTCGGAGCTCCGCGCGGACTCTTGAATTGGCGCAGGACTCCCCACCCCTGGCGGCCCTGGCGAGCTTCCGGCGCCAGGTGCAGCGCCAGAGGCGCCGCCGGGGGGGCCAGCGCCGATCCAGGAAATCCGCGCCGACCTTCGAGAACTTCTGTTTGTTCACCTCGTTCGTCCGTCGAAAGCCCACGCTCCAGCGAACTCGACTACTGCGGTTCCCCGAGCGGAGCGCGCGCCGCCGTTTGCCGAGCCCGCAGCGCGCTCGCAGGCCACTCCCTGCGCGCAGCCGACGCCAGGAGTCGGGGGCGTCCAACAGGTGGGGTTGCGCGGACGAAGGAGGGAACTACGTGACGCACTGAACGAAGAACAGGAGACCACGAAATCAGGGAATATTCCATGGCCCTGGGCATGATATTCACACAACCCTTGGGGAAATCCGCCGACCCTTGTCGGCGTGTGTGAGGGGCTTGTCCGTTCAAGTCGTCATCTCCGTCATTCGTTGGTCGTCGTCTCTGTCGTCCCCTTTCCCTGCCTCCCCCCTTTCCCTGGGCTCGTCGAAGCTCCGCCCTTTCCCAGGGACCTCCTCAGCGCGCCAGCCAAAGCGAAGTTGAGCAACGTCGAGATTGAGTCGAAGGGAAGCCCCTTCCCTTCGATCCCTCCCCCGCCGGGGAGGGTCGGGGGGTGGTCCCGGAGCGGGCGGGTCACATGTGACGCCCTTCCTAGGAGTCCCGGAGCCCCCCAAAGCCCCAAGACGGGCCAGGAGTGCCCCAAGAGGCCCTAAAGACAGTCCAAGAGAACCCCAATCGCCGACTGATCTGTCCAAGACGCCTCGACGGCCTCCAGACGGCCCCAGAGGCCTGCAAAGCGCCCCAAGAGGCCTCCAGGAGCTTTCCCACGAGAGCCCCAAAAGGCCAAATGTATGGATTTCCCATACGTTTTTGACAGATTTTGGCGTTCTTGCCTCTTCCGCTTCCCGACGCGCCAAGACGGCCCAAGAGGCCCCCAAGATCGCCCCGAGACAGCCCAAGAGGCCCCCAAGAGGGTCCCCTAACGGCCGAAGAGGGCCCCAAGACGGCCCAATACGCCTCCAAGACAGCCCAAGAGGCCCCCAAGACGGCTCCAGGAGAGTGCCCAGACGGGGGACCCGAACGGACATTTCGAGCTCTCAACCCCAAGAGGCCCCCAAAAGGCTCCGAAGAAGCCCCAAGAGGCCCCAAGAGGCTCCCAAGGGGCCCCCAAACTGCCCGAAGACAGCCCAGGAGAACCCCAAATTGCCCAGGAGCCTGGACGGCCCAAGACGGCCTCAAGAGAGCCCCAGGCTGTCCCAAGAAAGCCTCTGGCCTCCTTCTCTTCCTGCTCCTCCTCCTGCTCTCCTCTGCCTCCTTCTCCTCCTCCTGCTCCTCCTCCTGTTCCTCCTCCTGTTCCTGTTCCTCCTCCTCCTCCTCCTCCTCCTCCTCCTCCTCCTCCTCCTCCTCCTCCTCCCCCCCTCTGCTCCCCCTCCTCCTGCTCTCCTCTGCCTCCTTCTCCTCCTCCTGCTTCTCCTCCGCATCCTTCTCCCCCCTCCTCCTCCCTCATCCACCTCCTCCACCCTTCCTCCACCTCCCACCCATCCTCCTCCCCCTGCCCCCCCCTCGTTTTCATCTTCCTCGTTCTCAGGGTCGGCGGCACCGGCCGTACCTAAGGCCTTCGCGGTCAGAAAATACCGATGCGCTGCTCTCCGAACCTCTCCTGGGGTGCACCCCGACCAAAACCTCGAGGCGCATCCAGCCGTGGCGACGAGGGCTTCTCAGGAGGCCCAGCGCCTGCGACAACGGCGCCACGGTACAACCCCCGCGGCAATTACCACGGGGAGCGTGTGGTGTGGAACGAAGGGGCCTCGCTGGCCACGGCGGGCCTCGGCCGCGAACGCATCCGGGGAGCGTTTCGGGAACCAGAACCCGTCCTGAACCCAAAGTGGCCCTCTTGCGCGACATGGGTGCCCCCCGTTCGGCAGTACAAAAACGGGGGAAGTCGGATTCTTTTTGGGGGGTCCGATTCGAGCTGCCTTGGGAAGTTCACGGTGGTCTGGGCCCCAAAGGCCGCTCTTCCATGGCTGGCCTGGGGTGGGGGGTCGAGAACTGCTCGTCTGAACGGGTTGTGACCACTTCCCTTTGATTACAATGAAAGCTTGAAATAAGGACGGGTGGCAAGGACGCAAGACCATTGGAGGCCGAAATTTTGACTTTTTGGGCGGCCGCCCCAAAAACGCCCTGAGGGGCTGGCCCGTGGAAACAGCAAAGGACAGGCCGCAGGGGCACGTACACAAGGTTACCCTAGAAAGGCGCGCGTCCTTACCATGCGCGGTGACTGTGCGAAATCGAGAATGCCTCTCCCCCCTTTGGCCGCCCCGGAAGGAGGCACCATCGCGCACGCGGAGCGCGCAACCGCCACTTGCCGCTGCCCGCAAGGGGGAGTCCCCCCCCTACGCGCCCCGCCCCGCCGCGCGCGCCCGCTCCTGGCGTACCGCTTCGATGTTGGCCCAGCGGTTCGCCGTGGTGGGGTGGTCCGCGTGCAGCGCCTGCGGGTGAGCAGGGGCCGACCGTCCTGGCATTCCCATCGGCCTACCCCACGACATTTTCTTGGAACAAAAGAATGCTCGATTCTTGTCGGCGATCCCATGAGGGCTAATAGTCAGGCCGACGAGGGAGGTCGCGCGCTGTGAGCGACCCCCCTGAAGCAAACGCGTGCGAAACGTTGTTCGTCGGGCATCGCGGCGGGCAAGAGGCTCAGCCCAGGCCGCGGGCGCCCAAATAATTACTCCGACGGAAGGACCCCGCATGATAATCTGTTTCGCTTGCAGTTGCCCTTCTTCCTCCTCGCCCTGACGGAGACTCTCCTCTCGCCCGCCGCCCTCACCTACCCCCCCTCCTTCTATTTCTCCACCTCCTCCTTCTTTTCCACTTCCTCCTCGTCATCACCCCCTGCCTACCCTTCCCCGTCCTCGCCCTTCCCCTGCTTCTTCTCCGCGCGCTCCTCCCCTTCCCCCTGGTCGGGGCCAGCAAGTCGATTTTCCTCGGCGCCGTCGCCGCCGCGGCCAGAGCGCGCGCATTCCCCGACTGCTGGTTCGCGAAGCCTTTGGGGCAACCCTGCGGGCCGCTGGGGCGCGGGGGCAGGCGGTCGGGACAGCCCCGCGGGCCAAGCCGTTGGGGCAACCCCGCGGGCACCGAGCGGGGCGCAGCCGCGCTCAGGCGGGATGCGGCTGCACGTCATGCGTGTCATTGCGTCCGTGGCAAACGCGAAGGTCCAGCGCGTTGTAGAGAGCTGCCGCCACCATGCTCAGCTCCTCGATGACCCGGACGTGCTCCCACAGCCATTTCAACCTCTTCTGCATGCCCCCCGGTCTCATCTTCGCGTTGATGTACTTCTGGACTCGCAGGGCACAAGCGTTGTGCAGCGTTCTAGCCTTCACAATCTCCGTGGAGATCTTCTTCGCCGGAGTATCCGTTTTCGGACGACCCGCTCGGGTTACCAACATGAAGTGCGGGACCCATAGGGAGGGGGCTCCCGCCAGAGACTTCCTCACAATTCACTCATCCCGCTGGTTACTTCCCCCAATTTCATGTCTGATGGGCCCCGAAATCATGACAGTTACACGTTTCGGATGACCCGCTCGGATTGCCAACATGAAATGCGGGACCCATCGGGAGGGGGCTCCCGCCTGAGAGTTCCTCACAAACCACTCGCAGACGAGGCTCCCGCTTGATATTTCCCCCACATTCAAGCCTGAGGAACCCAAAAGTGACGACAATGACATGTTTCGGATGACCCGTTCGGATTACCAACATCAAATGCGTGACCCGTAAGGAGAGGGCTCCCGCCTGAGACTCCTTAGCAATTCACTCACAGGCGGGGCTCCCGCCTAAGACTTCCCCCCGTACTCAAGCCTGAACAGCCCAAAAGTGACGACAGTTACAGGAATCCGATGACCCGCTCGGATTACCTACGTGATCCGCGGGCCCTATAGGTAGGGGGCTCCCGCCTGAGATTTCCTCACAATTCACTCACAGGCGGGGCTCCCGCTTGTTACTTCCTCCAAGTTCAAGCCTGATGAGCCCAAAAGTGACGACAATTACACGTTTCGGATGACCCGCTCGGATTACCAACATGAAGTGCGGGACACATAGGGAGGGGGCTCCCGCCTGAGACTTCCTCACAATTCACTCACAGACGAAGCTCCCGCTTGAGACTTCAGCCGTATTCAAGCTAGGGGGTGAGTTATGACGAAGTGAGGAGTGAGTGAGTGGTGCTGATGAGTGAGTGAGTGAGTGAGTGTGTGAGTGAGTGAGTGAGTGAGGTTGGCGGGTGATTGAATGAATGAGTGTGTGAGTGAGTGATGGTGATGGTGATGAAGATGATGAGTGAGTGAGTGAGTGAGTGAGTGAGTGAGTGATCGAGTGATCGAGTGATGATGAGGGCGACGATGATGATGATGATGCTGATTATTATTATTATTATTACTATTATTAATATTCGTACTATTATTATTATTATGAGTGGTGGTGCTGATTCATGATGATGATGCTGCTGCTGATGATGATGATGATGCTGATGAGTGTGTGAGTGTGTGAGTGAGGCAAGGGGAGGTGAGATCCTGCGCGGCGTGTGCAGGGAAAACAAGAGCCCCACTTTGGATGTGGGGAAAACGATGCTCTTAGAACGCAGGCCCGATACATTCAAATGAAGCTGCGTCCGCCAGAACTGTTCCGAGAACCTGCGGTTGGCACTGGAGGGATCGCCCCCGTCTGTGCGCGCCTTCCCCTCTGCTATCGTCCCCTCTGGCTTCTTCGGCGCACGCTGTCTCCAAGGTGGGGGATAGCGTGCAATAAGATCGGTGGCGCCACATCGCACGCTACGTTTCCAACGCAAACTATGTGGGGGGTCGAAAGGTCGAGGGGGCGGTCGAGGGATCGAGGGGGCGGTCGAGTGGTCGAGGGGGCGGTCGAGGGGTCGAGGGGTCGTTCGAGGTATCGAAGGGGCGACCGAGGGATCGAGGGGAACCGCCGAGGGATCAAGGGGGCTATCGAGGGGTCGAAGGGCCATCGAGGGATCGAGGGGCGACCGAGAGGCGATCGAGGATTTTCAGCGATTCTGGTCCTTCTTGGGCCTGTGGGGACCAGGACTTCTTGCTCCTCCTGCTCCTCCTCCCTCCTCCCGCCCTTCTCCCTCATCTCTTCTCCTCTTCTCTCCCCTCTCCTCCGTTATCCTTCTCCTCCTCCCCTTCCTCATTCCTCCTCGCTTCTTTCCTCTGTCTTCTTCTCCTTCTCCTCCTTCTTCTGTCCTCCTCCACCTGCCCGTCTTCTTCCTCCTCCTCCTCCTCCTCCTCCTCCTCCCTGTCCTCCTTCTCCTCCCCCCCTCCTCCTCCACTTCCCTGGGTCGCGAATGGGGTTCTCGCAGATTTGACAGTACTATGGTTTTATCTGTTTCTTGAGAACATCTGCAGTGTACTTCACCATATGGGGCAGCCTCCTACCTCCACCTCCCTGCTCTTGATTCCTTCTCAACCTCTCCTGCCTTCTCTTTCCTCCTCCACGCTCACTGGAGTAGGGGTATGACGAGGAGGCTGGGTTCGACGAGCAGCAAGACAAGCAGGATAGGGGTAAGGGTGGAATGAGTGGGTAGGTGGGAGGAGGCTAGCTTCGACGAGGTGCAAAGGGGCAGGAGGCGTGGCTTAGCTGAAGGGTCGACAAACACCGGAGGAGGAGGAGCAGGAGGATGATCATGAGCAGGAGAGGCGCTCCCACAAGATACGACGGTGGTCACCCTCGTCAATTGCGTCCGAAGTGCGTTTCGGAAACAGAACCTCCTGCCAGCGAGCGTCCACAATGACCGAAACGCAAAGTAAACGGCTGTCGAGGTCAATCCGAAGAATCGCGGACGAGCGCCGTGCCCGCGGTAAGCTGGACAGAACTGTCGGTGGGGGAGGCAGCGGACGAGGAGGGCGAAGTTAATGCTGCCAGCGGCATATCCAGGAGTCCAAGCATTGGACGTCAACCGATGGCACATTTTCGCAGCGCGAGAGCCCGTCCCGGCACCCCTCCCCAGCACGCAACACGCGCCAAGGGTTCGGGAGAGGTCAAGCGCCGGGGGAACATCTGCCGTCCACGGACGTCCGACCTTGACGTTCTGTTACTGTCCGAATGCCTGAGTTGAAAGTGGCTATGGGTAGGACGTAAAGCAGAAGGAGGATGGGCGAGACAAGAGGTGGGCGGAAAGAAGAGGCAAGAGGATGGGCGAGACGTGGCCATGTAGAGGTGGGCGGAAAGAAGTGTGCAACCTCGTACCAGACCGGCATGTCCGGGTCCTGGTTCGAATTTACGCTCAGCTTCGCCAGGGCTGTCTGCAGGGCGGCGCCGTACTTGTCCGACATCCTCGGTATCCTCCTCATCCTCCTCTTCATGCCCCTCGAAATTGCCCATCCCTTTGCCGCATGTCCCGCTTCTTACACAAGACGCTCACCTACGATCCTATGTCTGCGTAATGCATCTGAGCGAAACACGAAATCGTTGCATTGTGTGAGTGTGGTGCATCGGGTGAGGCGGACCATCTGCATTGGTAGCAGCAAACGGTCGCGGCTAGATTTTAGCGCAGGGCGGGGCAAGACGATAAAATGACACAAAGTGTGCGTGTTGTGACGACTCCTGGGAGCCTCTTCGGGGTCTCGTGGGAATGACTTAATGAGGCCGTTTGGAGGCCTGCCTGTGTGGATCTTCGGAACATTGGAAGTGTTTGTTTTGGGGCGCTTCGGGGCCATCCATGAAGGTATTCTTTGAGGGGGCCGTCTTGGCACTGTCGTGGACATGTCCTGGGGAGGGTTTTGGGCCGTCTGGGGAGGTCTTCGGTGTGCCCTCTTTTCTGATTCTTGCCCCCCTGCAACACGCCTCAACGTGTCGTCGCAAGCAGCAAGGCGATGACACAGTGGCGCGGTGAGATGCTATGGCCTCCACGCTGCCGGAGAAGAACGGAGCGGAGTCAAGACGGCTCTTCGAACTTCTCTGGGAACCAGTAGGCTCGTAGCTTCGCGATCAGCAAGTCTCGCGCGTCTGCCTCCGGTAGGGAATCGTAGCCCTGCGGCAGGTCATCAATCTCCTGCCACATGTCCTCCAGCTCGCCAGTTTCCATAATTTCCAGACCATCTTCCTCCTCTTTTCCCTCTTCCAGCCCCGCTGGCTCCTGTCCCTCGAATGCAGCCCGTTGCGTCCTCACGGGTCGTGGTGCAACAACAAAAATAGGCCTGGACGGATGGCTCGCCATGCCAACACCTGCTGCCAGCACACAAAACCAAAGCGGCAACGACGCTGACCGGCCACCTCGCTGACTGGTGCGCATGGTGCGCAAACTTAAGTACTCGCCGGTGGTCAAAAGACTCGGCGAGATCTCTGCTCAACTATTGCTGACGAAGACGCCTGGGGCCAACCCACATACGGAAACAGACCCTGAACCGATCGATTGTGCATTCCTGGCTTGAGCCAAAATGGCCACGTAACGCTCTACGTGATGGGACTTCCTGGGCCGCAGTCCAGGGCGGCCCGAAGGCCGCTCGGAGGCCAATTTGAGCTCTGGCGCAAACGCACTCGAAAAGATAATTCAGGGGGGGCATGCGCAACCCGCCCAGGGGCTTCGGAGGCAATGGCACCTGTACGTTTGGGAGCACGCCAGGACAGCGAGTCTCCGCATGTCCCTGCGTGCACGTGAGTGTGTGGGGGTGGGAGGGGACGCTCTGCGCCCCCCCCCCACACGCGTGGGTTCGGAGCATTTCGACAGTTGCGGGCTTGGCGGTGCCCGGCGAGGTCCGCGCGTGGGGGACACTTCGCAGGAGGTGGCGGCAACTCTGCGGTTGGGGGCAGGAGGTAACGTGCAAGATGGGCCCCACGTGAGGGAGACTCTGCTGGGCTCCCGAGGAAAGCAGAAAGAAGCGCATGCCCTACAAACTGCGAGCACCCAAGGGCGGGCGAGGTGTGATTAGGGCCCGCTTGGGAAGCAACTCTGCCGGACTTCGGAGGGTCCCAAAGAATGGCAACTCTACAGCTGCCAGGGCCCAGGGAGGCGAGGCTTTACCTGGACAGAAATAGGCGGGGTCTCGTTGGGACTCCGTGCGTCGGCTGCACCAAAGAGTGTCCCTGGGCAAGAGTGACCTTTGGTGCGCGGCTTTCGTGCGAGGTGGGGAGGGGGGCGATGGGGGCAGCCAAACCCTACCGCGCAAGCCGCTGCTGTCGCATCGCAACCGGCCATCGGGTTACCCCAGCGGCCCCGCACCAAACGGCACTCCGGGCCGGGCCCGCATCAACAGGTACTTTGGCGACCAGCGACGGGATCAGTCAACATCGAATCGGGAGAACCAGAATGCGAGTCGGATCGGGCTGCGTCTGCACGGAGTCATAATGAAATCGGATCGGCTGCGCATGGATGCACGACATAGCCACGCAAACATCATGCCGCATCGGATCGTTGCAACATCGGGAACGAGTCGGATCGAGCCGGTGGGACCGACATCGAATCGGATCGATCGGGCGGATCGACATCTTGGATCCGCTTCTGCAGGCTGCCACTCCGCTGTGCTCCCCAAGATCGCACAAGGAGTAGCGACGTCTCTGCTGCGATCGGGGGGCCACGAAAGGATACGAGAACAGATTTGGGTCCGCTTCGACTCCGCTGGCCTCCCCAATGGCCCAGAAGCTTGCGTCACCTTACAATATGGGGGTATCCGAGGAAGCCTGGCCTCATGTGATTTGTAAGACGCAGCATTGCTGGAACCATGAGCTTAGAGCATGCTGGCACATCTACGCCTTGGAACGCCCAAGGAAGCGAGGTCTCGCTGGGTCCTTTCAGCACGCCGCTTCGCTGATCTCAAGGGCCCACTGCATAGCGACTGTTCCACTGACTACAGCCGCGCGCATAATTCGCTCCGCTTCTGCTCCTGCGCCTGTCCGCCATCATGTCGCGAGGCACCGAGTGGTCCCACAAAGATTTTCGAGACCCGCAGGGGAATCCCAACATGCCTCTAGTCATCCACGCCCCAAGCTTGCCATCCATGTGCTTGCCACAAGGGCGCTTGGCTTAGCGTTCCTTCCGAAAAGCTTCCAGGGGCCTTCGGCACAACCGCATGCCACTGGGAAACATCAGACTGTGTTCCCGCCAAAGATCCAAAGATGGTCCCAGACGGTCTCCTGGATGGCCCTGGTCGCCATCAAGTCGGTCCAATAGTAGGTCCAAATGGCCTCCAGGTAGGCTCACGATGCCTCACATGGCCCCACAGAGCCCCAACGGCCTCAAGATTCCCCCCAGAAAACCCAAATAGCGGAAACGAGCCCCAGTATAGCCCCAAGACGGCCCTAGAGGGCCCCTCCCCAGTGACCCCCCAGTGGTTTCACCAACAGCTCGGGCAGCACGCCGTCGACTAACGTGGTAACACTTTGCGCTTGACTTTTCACGGCACAAGCGTTTCTAGAAGGGAAGTGGCGGGCGGCGGTGAGGCGTCTTCGATGCGAGCACACTGGCGAAAACACGGGGAGCGTGGCTTGCCAAACACGTCGCATGACGCCAGAGGTGTCCGAGAACGGGAAGGTCGAGGAGGTGAGACGCTGTCATGAGAGAACGGGACGAGAATGACTGAGACAGAGGCTGGAACTCTTCAAGTGCCCCCACCAATTTTCCAAGCAGGTGGCATGTGCCAGACACATCCAAGTACCTGCACGGATGCACAGAACCTGGACTTGCTTTCGGACGGGCACCGCTGTGACCTATATTCGAGCTCGCTCAATCAGACCCTCAGATATGCCTAAAGCATTGCATGATCACGGATAGCGGATGGTCTGCTTACAAGCGACCGTTGCGTGAGAGTTCGTGAGCCCCCAAGGTGTGCAAGCCACCTGCAACTCTCCCGCGCTTGTCGCACTTTCATGCGCAAACGCCCGAGTGTAGCGGGATATTTAAATCTCATGGCTGGCACTGCATGTTCTTGAATGTGACCTACTTGAAAATTGGAAGATGGCTTCTTGCACGAGTGTGAGGCGGCCTCGATCGGCAGTTTCCAGTGTGGGCCAATATTCGAGGAAGTCGCCCTCGACATCTGCCAGGCTGGAAACAAACGACAGATGGCGAGCGGTGGATCGCACGCGCCAATCGAGTGGCACCGGTGGTACCACTGAGGTGGCGTGCAAACCTTTACCCCGATCCAAGGCCCCGATCATTCCACCACAATGCATGCCTCCCCTCGTAACACGCTGTAATAATGCGATGTGGCCAACGACACTCGTGGTAGAGATCTGAGGTAGCATACGGCAGTGATGGTGATATGTGGCTCATCTGGGCTCGTGTGTGTGTGTGTGTGATGGTGATCGCGGCGACTATGATGATGGTGGTGGTGGTAATGGTGATGCTGGTAGTGGTGATGGTGACGGTGATGGGGGTGGCATAGGTGATATTTCACGACGGTCGTGGTGGTGACGGCGGTAGGGTGCCCATGGGCACGTACTCACGTCTCTCAAACGGGTGTGCTACAGATGCATGGCTCAGACCCTGATTCATGTGCAGTCGCTCGAGGCATGCAAGCACTGAGAGCCAATCCTGGCCACGTACGCGTCCGCCTCGTACTCGTTTCGCCTGGACAACGCTGGCTCGGCTTATCTTTCTAAACGCGGCCTTTCAGGTGGCCGATTCTGGTAACCCTGAATCCAATAGGTTGACATCTCTCGGGGGCGTCTATTGTACTTCCGCCGCCTTTCGCCGAAAAGAAAATACCAACTCCTTCGATCCTCGGAGCCGGAACTCTTCCTGGAACGCGCCACATGGCATCGGGTTTGGACGCCCGAATGGGCGCGGAAAATTTGGGGACGTTGCCCAACAGCGAGTGTTGTCTAAACTCGACAGCGGTGTCCAAATTCGACAGCGGCCGCTGTTGGGCAAGCGGCCTTCTGTCTCAAATGGGGTACGTCCGCGGCGACACCGTCAGCGAGTCCTCTTCAAAATGGACAGGAAATGCTGTCGGTCTTCGTGCCAAGTCTTTCCGTACCGAGGAGACGGAAAGAAGAGACCTCAGGGGTTGGGTCGGGCATGTCCTCCTGCAGGCGAATATTGGAAGAAGACAGGTATTAGCAAGAGCCAAAACATAAGCAGAAACAGCCAGAACGGGCACGAACAGTCGTCACCAGACTCTCTCTTTTCCACTCTTCTTGAATCTTCCTTCCTGGGGAGGGACGTGCCCGACCAACTGGCAGGGGGCGGGACTCCCAGGCTGGCTGCAGCGGCTCGGCGGGCACCCGCCACGCACGCGGAAACTGGAAACTGTGCCGCCGCCGCTCGGCGCGCGGCGGGTGCCCCGGGGAGGGGGAGGCGGGTCGCCTCGCTCGCCCGTGGGCTTCCTCGCCAAAAGTCGAGCAGCCAGGCGGGGCGCGCGTCGGCCCACCAGCGCTCCCCCTCGTACCCTCTCTATATCGTTCTCTTTCACTCTCGCGCTCTCTCTCTCTCTCTCTCTCTCTTCTCCCCTCCCCACCTCTACTACAAGCGCGCGCACACACAGCACACACAACACACATACCCGAACACACGCACACACGCACACACACACACGCATGCACGCACGCACGCGCGCAACCACCACACACACACACACACACGCACGCACGCACGCACGCACGCACGCACGCACGCTCGCACGCGCACGCGCACGCGCGCGCACGCGCGCACGCACATACACACACACACGCACACGCACACGCACACGCACACGCGCACGCACACGCACACGCACACGCACGCGCACGCGCACGCGCACGCGCACGCGCACGCGCGCACGCACGCGCACGCGCGCACGCACACACACACACGCGCGCATGCACGCGCGCACGCATGCACGGTCGCACGCACGCACTCACACCCACACCACACTTGCACACTTACACACACTTACACACTTACGCACTCATACACGCACTTAAAGACACACGCACACTTACACACAACCTTACACACACTTACACACAACCTTACACACACTTGCACACAATCGCACATGCAATCTTACACACATACCCCCTTGCACACACGCACACACTTACACACATACACCCATTCACACACATGCATACACACTCTCCCCCCCCCACACTTACACACACTTACTCACTTACACACTTACACGCTCACGCACACACACACACACTTGCAAACACGCGCACTTATACACTTTTACACAGACTTACACACACCTGCACACTTACGCATACTTACGCACACTTAATTACCTACTTGCTTACACACACTTTTATGCACATATATACACACACTTACACAACCTTGCACACACTTCTACACACATGTACACACACACGCTCACACACACACACACACACTCTTACGCACACTTGCACACACACTTACCCACATTCGCACACATACGCACACACGCTTACACACACTTACACATACCTACACACACTTACATCCACTCATGCACTTCACCCACACTTACACACATTTACACACACACTTACACCCACTTACACCCACTTACCCACACATAAGCACACATGCACACACATACACACACGCACACAGACATACACACGCACGCACACGCACACACACACGCACACACACAAACTGAAGGGGCCCCAGGACACACAAATCAATCCACACAAATAAACATATTCACCATATTTTCCTATATTTTCTGAGTTTTTGTCTTCCCCACACTTCCCATATTTTCCAATATTTTCTGGGGGATCGACGATTAATTGTGTCTGTGTTGTTTCCCTCCTGACAAACACACGCACACTTACACACGCGTACTTACACCCACACACACACACATTCACATATACACAAACACACACACACACACTCTCACAGACACACCGACACACAAAGACATACTCACATTCACACATACACACAGACACACGCACACATAAACACACACAGACACACACTCAGGCACACACACAGACACACACACATACACACAGACACACACAGGCACACACAGACACACACACACAGGCACACACAGACGACACGCTCTCTCTCTCTCTCTCTCTCCCTCCCTCTCCCCCGTTCCTCTCTCCCACGGGAAAGAGGAGAGGGAATGATAGGTTGAATGATGATGGGGAGCATGAGTGGGGGAAGGAAGACGCCGGGGAAAAGGGAGGACTGAGTGGATAAATACGTTGGGGGGGAGGAGGGGGATGATAAGGGCTGGGGGAGAGGCAAGATCAATTGGAATGGTCCCACCTTGCAGAATGGGTGCAGCCTCACCGTCTTCTGGTGATCTCGCCGCGCGTTTCCCCCAAGTCCACTTCGGCATCTGTGTCTCTGTGCCTTTGATTCGTATGTCCCCTGTCCCACGCCTTCTCCTCCAAACTCGCAATCATCAGCCTTCGTCTCCCTGACCCCTGCTACCGCGCTTCACCGAATTAACCAGTCGGAGACGAACTTCACCACGCCGTCCACAGGTGGGCCGACGATGTGGCCGTATGCGCAAGCTCCAACGTGGACCTCATATCGGGACCAGCTGAAACCGAAACGATCGCAATTGTGCTGGTCCACCACCTCCCCCTCCTCCCCTGCTCTCCCCCCTCTGTTCCCCCTGTCCCACAACCACTGCCCTCCCGTTTTCTCCGACTGGCAACCTTCCAGCGCAGCAAGCGGGCTCGTTCCCCTGCTCTCCCCCCTCTGTTCCCCCTTTTTTTGACTGCAACATTCATGCCCCTGAAAGTGATGAGTTTTTGCACAGTCAGCAAGAGGCGCACTGAAGGCAAGGCAAATTAACCTGTAATTTATAATAGCGGGATGAATTCGTCGATATCGACCGAGACACCCTTCTTATCAGGGTGCTGTCCTTTACGGAGCCGTCTCAAGTTTCTGAAACCAGTCTCCGTCGGGGGCCCGCACTTACGGGACAAACCAAGGACCTTTTCACTGCTAGAATAAAACTTGCACGTCATGCGCAAGAACAGGTGGCCACTGTCACTGCAAGGGAAGGCAATGAGTCGGTGGCCCAGTCTCTCCAACAGTCCCTGGTCCAAACGGGAATGCCCAGGGCACGGTCCTCCCAACGGCTTGGACTTCGAGCGGGAACCCCGAAGACACGCGCGACACCGCCAGGAGGAACCTTGTTGGGACCAGTCGTGGACGAGCTCTAAAACGGGAGCAACAGGGCCAGGCGGCGGAGGGAAACGCGGCATACCTTGAAACTCCAGCTTCGGCCAAAGTGGCAAGAGCTCCGCTCCCGCCAGCAAGATCGCCCTCGAGACCTTGATCTGATGGTCGAGAGCCTCCTGCTCTGTAGGAGTCATCTCAGGGTGCTGTCTAACACCCTCCTTGGCATAGACGTCAGCGTAGAAGTTCCCTCTACGCAAGAATCTCTCATGCGCAGAGAGCCCTTCCTCGTCAACATCTTTGTGGGCCTCAACCGTAGCTAACGAGATAAGGTTGGGGCCAAAGTAATGCCTGGCCTGAATGATTTGACCGGCGTGCTGTCGCTCGGCAGTAATACCGCCAGCAACACCAATATTCATTAAATAAACAACATTAGCACAATCCGAATAGCACATAGCGGGGCCCTCGGTTTGCACAGCGGTCCAGGCCAGGGCTCCAAACTCCGATCCCTGGGGGGTCTGAGGCCACGGAGCCCACATAGGACCTTTCAAAACCCCGAGGCGCTCGCCCGAACTCGAAACCATGACAACGGCCCAGCCAGCCCTGGAGAGCTCACGCACTACATGACGACGGCATGAGCCGTCCATAAAGAGGTGCCCCCACAGCCCGATGGAGGGAGGAATAGAGGGAGCAACAGCAAAGTCTGATGGGTCAGGAAGCGCATCAACGAACCATTCCAGGCTGGTGCCTCCGTCGGTGAGCGGCGGTGGTGCGTTGTCTCCAGGATGTTTGAAGGCTCCGTACACATACAGGCGCATGTCAACGTGATCTGCACCTAGCTCCAACGCTTCATTCTGAATACTTTTGTCCAACACCGCATCCTTCTCAGACTGCACGCGCGGGCACACGAAGAGCCTGTGGAAGAGAGTGTCGCGGTCCTTGCCGCACAACGCACACTTGTCGGAAAAATCGTACCCAGCAGCAGCCACATCACGTGCCGTCCAGCAAGCTCTAGTGGCCTGAGCACGGGCCCAACCTTTGGTTTTACTTGAAACCTTCCTGGAAGACAAAAACTGCTTGACAACATCCCAGCACAGCCTGAAACCACAACCATATTTGTCCCCAGAATCTCTTTCAAGACCCCGAAGATGGGCTTCCTTACAGTAAAGCTTGATGAGCTTGGGAGACGACAAGGTCAAAGAGACTTCACGGCCAACATCATCAATGATGGTGCAACAATTAGGCATGGTCCAACCCAGCCTAAACAAGGTCATGCGCAAGGAAGAGATTGGCCCAGCCACTTTGGACCAAGAATGGTCATCAGACGCAAAGACGGCACTCCAACCATCCCTGAGTTCAGCCCAACTTAAAGTCCACGGGAATCCATGAGTATGCAGGGTCCAGACCTCTTTGGCCGAGCGGATGACAAGCGCACAACTGCCCCTCCAAGTGGGGTCCTCCGAGAGAAGACACAAGACGCTGAGGGAGCGTCCCTGGGCTCTGGGTTTGACCGTCGACATGGCCATCCTTCTAAGGTTCAAACCACTGCCCTCCCCTTCTCCGACTGGCAACCTTCCAGCGCAGCAAGCGGGCTCGTTCCCCTGCTCTCCCCCCTCTGTTCCCCCTGTCCCACAACCACTGCCCTCCCCTTCTCCGACTGGCAACCTTCCAGCGCAGCAAGCGGGCTCGTTCCCCTGCTCTCCCCCCTCTGTTCCCCCTGTCCCACAACCACTGCCCTCCCCTTCTCCGACTGGCAACCTTCCAGCGCAGCAAGCGGGCTCGTTCCCCTGCTCTCCCCCCTCTGTTCCCCCTGTCCCACAACCACTGCCCTCCCCTTCTCCGACTGGCAACCTTCCAGCGCAGCAAGCGGGCTCGTTCCCCTGCTCTCCCCCCTCTGTTCCCCCTGTCCCACAACCACTGCCCTCCCCTTCTCCGACTGGCAACCTTCCAGCGCAGCAAGCGGGCTCGTTCCCCTGCTCTCCCCCCTCTGTTCCCCCTGTCCCACAACCACTGCCCTCCCCTTCTCCGACTGGCAACCTTCCAGCGCAGCCAGCGGGCTCGTTCCCCTGCTCTCCCCCCTCTGTTCCCCCTGTCCCACAACCACTGCCCTCCCCTTCTCCGACTGGCAACCTTCCGCGCAGCAAGCGGGCTCGTTCCCCTGCTCTCCCCCCTCTGTTCCCCCTGTCCCACAACCACTGCCCTCCCCTTCTCCGACTGGCAACCTTCCAGCGCAGCAAGCGGGCTCGTTCCCCTGCTCTCCCCCTCTGGTCCCCAACCCTGCCTTCCCCTTCTCCGACTGGCAACCTTCCTGTTGTTCCCCTGTCCCACAACCACTTCCCCTTCTCCGACTGGCAACCTTCCAGCGCTCGTTCCCCTGCTCTCCCCCCTCTGTTCCCCCTGTCCCACAACCACTGCCCTCCCCTTCTCCGACTGGCAACCTTCCAGCGCAGCAAGCGGGCTCGGTCCCCTGCTCTCCCCCCTCTGTTCCCCCTGTCCCACAACCACTGCCCTCCCCTTCTCCGACTGGCAACCTTCCAGCGCAGCAAGCGGGCTCGATGCTCACCAATCTTCCAGCGACTGTGGAGCCTGGGCCCTGCGGCGCGCGGCTGGGGGCACCTCTTCGTCCTCGACGGGCTTCACGCATCGGCTTGGGGCAGCGCGGTGGCGCGTGGCACGCCGACCCCGGCGATGGCTTCTGGCACCGCGGGGACCATTTAAAACAAGGGATAACTCGCTCCAGAGCGTTCCGCAGCGCTCTCAGAGCGTCCCGGAACGCTCTGGAGCGGCCGCGGCGCCCAATACATCCTCCAAACCCGCCGATTCTCAGAGATTTCGAGTTATCCCGATCCGATTTTGTCCCGATCTTCGCGTAGTTTTACCGGGAGCGGAGGGCCAGGGCGCGAGGGCCGTCGTCGCGGGAGCGGCGGGGAGCCAGGGGGGGGAGGCCGGAGAGCGGCGCCCGCGCCGCGGGTGGTGAGGGCCGAGGGGCCCGCGGAGCGCGAGGCTGCCGCAGATCTCAGGGGAGGAGGAGGAAGTCACGGCAATGATGCCCTCCAGGATGTCCAGCGTTTCCAGCACTTCTGGAGGAGGAAGAGGTACCCATACCACTGCCCTTGCCTCGTTTTCCCCTTTGGGGGGGCCTCCTGGGAGGCCCTCGTCGCACAGGCTGCAGAAACGAAGGCCGCTTGGTATTCTGGACATCCTGGAACGCATCCTCAAAGCCAATCCTAAGCCTATCATGACATCTTTCTCGTCCTGAGATCGGCGTCGCGCCGAGAGCAGGGTCAAATTCGATCCGATCGACATGATCCGATCTCGGTTTTGGCAGACCCGATTCGATTCGAGCCCGATACTCCGACGATGCGGCCCGCTGTTTGCATGGCGCCGTTGTGCATGTTGGCGCAGCCGATCCGATTCGATTCCGACTCAGTGCCGATGTTGCCCGATCCGACGGAGAGTTCGGTTCGATCCGATTTCCCGATTCGATGTTGACCGATCCCGCGAGGCGGGGAAGGCTTTCTCCTTAGATGCTCGTTCTGGGGACCTTCCTGGGGACCACCCATCTGCTCGACTCTAGCTCGACTCTGGGTCGACTGGAGTTCGATTCAAGCTCGACTCAAGCTCGACTCAGGTCGACGGACGTTGGACGTTCGACGCAGCACCGACGCATGAGTCGAGCGCATGAGTTGAGCTCCCACACCCGGGTCAGCTAGGAGGGATGGGCCGACCCTCGTTAGCGCTCAACCCCGCTGCGTGAGCCCCGATCCGCGAGGGGTCAGGGATAGAGAGCAGAAAGTCGACCCCCGTCAGAAGCACCCCGACAAGCGAAGCCGCTTAGTACATGCACCCGTAGAAGGAATCGAACAAGGCAGGGCTGTCTATTTCGCAAACGCCCAAGGCTGTTTAGTGAACGCCGCCAATTGTCGGGGTCGGGGTGGTGTCTCTTTGGAGTCCCGAAACGGTGCGGTGACAGACCGTGCGGTGACCTCGAAATCCCCCACGACCTCACCGCACGGTCCGTCACCGCACGGTCTTGGGACCCCGGCGGCCTCTGCCGCCCGAGACATCCTCGGAGAACGACCCGAGCCCCAAAACCGCCCGGTGACCCCGAATCCCCACCGACTCACCGCACGGTGTGGTCACCGCCCCGTTTGGGGGCCCCCGAGCCTCCTCCCCTTGTGGGGAGGCCGGGCCCGCTCTGGGCTGCGCGCGGGCGCGCGATCGCTCCGCGGGGCGCTCCGCGCCCCCCCCCCCCAGCCAAATGCCTGCCCCCGCTCCTCTCTCTCCCCTTTCGCCACCTCCATCGTCTTAGCGCCGTCCGGCCTCCTCCCGAGGTGCGGGGCTCCCCCGCTGCCGCTCCCCACGGGCCTCGGCGGCGCGGTGCCCCCCCCCCCCCCCCCCCCCCCCCCCCCCCCCCCCCCCCCCCCCCGCACCGCCCCTGCCGCGCGGGGGCCCTCCGCGCGGGGTCCTCCTTTTCCCTCCTCCGCCTCCTTTCGCCTCCTTTCGCTCCTCTCCCCGACTCTTCTGTTTGCGCGAGAGTTGACCCTGAACCAAACAAACATGTGCCTGCCCATGCTGGACATACGTTGGCAGCTCTCTGCCGCTATGGTGGTTGTACTTGTGAGCCGTGTCTGCATCAGAGCGAGCGGGGGGCTGGGAAGGAGCATGCCACTCCTTGACAACAACCTTGCCCCGATTTGCGGCCGCCGCGGTGACCTCCAAAACCAACCTGGAGGTTTTGTTCGGGGTCAGCGATCTCCCCTCCCCGCCTCAATCTCCTGCCCCGTCTGAGACGAGAATGGCGTCATGATGCGATTGGCTCAAGATGCGCTCCAAGATGTCCGGGGCATCTGGCGGCCCTCGTGTCTTCAGCCCGTGAAACGCGAGGACATCCGGGATATCTTGGAAAATATCACTGTTGTGACCTCCTGCTCCTCTGACCCTCTCCCCCCCCCTCCCCTCTGCCACCCCGCTCCGCTCTTCTTCCCCCCCCCCCCCGGGCCGCTCCCCCCAACCTTGCCCCAACGTCGGCCTCCGGACCTCTCAAAGGCTCCTTTCTCTCTGGCCAGAGGGGCGCCCGGGGGGGCCCCAAACCGGGCCCCAAACGCCCGAAATCTTGGCCCGCGAGCCCCGACCCTCGATGCCGTGATTTCTGCCGCAGCGTCGACGCCCAGAGATCTCTAACCATTTGCCGGGGCCCGCGTTTCATCCTGAGCCGCCTTTGCTGACGGCCCACGGGCCTGCGGTGAGAGCCCCAGGGGGGCCGAAAGCTGCCCGAGGCCCTCCGTGGGGATGTCTGCGCGACGCGACGGGGTCTGCGATCCTCGACCCTTGCCAGCGCGCTCGAGGCGCCGAGGGGGCCCGTCCGGGGCCCGGGCCATGGGTTCGCCGAGGGACAGCGCTGCCGCGAACAGCGGGCTGTGCGCGGCCCACCCGAGGCTCGCGTAGGTGACCAGCGAGCTCGCCGCCTGTGCGGGGGTGGGCAGCAGGACCTCCGAGCAGCTGCCGCGACCGAGGGCCGAGGATCGAAGATCAAGGTTCGAGGGTCCGCATTTTTGCACGCTCTTGGTGCTGTTTGGGCCCCAGGAGGCCTCGAAGGGCCTCTGGGGACTTCAAATGGGGGCAAATTGTGGTTCGCTGGCTTCGGACTCGGATCTGCGTACTGGGTAGGCGCATCAACCTGCGAGTGTTCAATTTCGGATTGGCTGTTTGCTTCCCGCCGAAGCCCCCTGTACACAATATCTAAGCAGATCAAGCTTGCACACAAGGCCGCTCTTCGCAACACTCTGGTACCAACGCTGAGGCTAGAGAATGACCGTGTAGAAATACATCATTGGTAATGCCTCAAAAATGTTTGTGCGTCGGAAGGCCGCATCTTTCCTGTTTCTATCTACCTGCGACCACTCCCCCCGAAACGGGACCCCCAGGATACCTGGTCTGAGGGGCCTTCTGGAGGCCCCTGCAGAAGGTCTCCAGGGACTTCCGAGCCTCCTGGACGTCGCTGCCAGGCCTACTCAGCGTACCCGAAGCGGTCAAGAGGGCGCCCAACTAGCCCCACGAGAGCACCAAGCGCACCCCCCCCCCACGAGACGCCCAAAACCGGCCCCAGAAACACCTCCATGAGGCCTTCGAGACGCGGCAACCACGATCATTGTCTATTGTTTTTTTGGGTGCGATTTTCACATGCTCGGTTCTTCGCTCTTCCGGGCGTCAGAGACCACCCGAGAGGCCTCCGAGATCGCCGCGATGCTGGCCAAGAGGGCGTCGAAAAAAACCCAAGAAAACCCCAATCCAACAGGCCCCGATATGGCCTCAAGCAAACATCCAACCGACCCAAACTGGCCCCACGGCACCCCCCAAAACTGGACCTGGTCGTGGAGAGCAGCCGCGAAGGGCAGCATGATGGACCCAAGAAGCCCTCAGAGGCTTCCAAAAGACATCCAGGAGGCCTCCAAAAGCCCCTAACAACAAGCCCCAAGAAGTCTTCGAGGGGCCCACCAGGACACCTCATGGAGGGGCCTCCACAAAGAAAACGAAGACGAGTCCGCAAACAATGAGAAGGGGCAAGGTTCGAAGATAATTGCGAGAACGGGAAGAAAATAACACGTGAAGGAAATGAGGATGATGATAAGAGGACGGCAGCGCGGAGACTGAGACAAATTATGAAGTACATCGGTCCTTCTCTCTCTATATATATTCATAAAAAAGAAAAATATCGCTCTCCATCTCTCATTCCGCCGTGCGGAACTTGGAAGACCAAGGTGCATGGCGCGATGCACCAGTGCAGTCTGGCGCGTGTGTATCTATCTATAGATGTGATTGTATAGATCTATATGTATTACGCTGTATGCGCTCCATAAGCTTACCGCCGTATCGGTTTTGCGTCTGCTAAGGAAACTAACGAGGATGCCAAGCCAATCCCAAAGGAGGCGTCGAGAACTCTGAGGCCCGGCAATCCGCTACGTAATCAGGTCGGGGGGCCGGGCAGAACAGACCTCTGCTCCCGCAGACGACCACTGCGCCGAACAGAACAGTAATGGGGGCAAGCGTTTTTTTGGTAAACAAATCTGAGGCGGACGAATTAAGACAGTAGTTTCGCGGGCTTTCGCGCCACCGCAATAGCGGGGGGGCGGGCAGGCAAACGGAGGGCGGACAATCCCGGGATGTCCAGAGGCCCGGGGGGGGGCGCGGGCTGACAATTCAGGGCGGGGGGGCGGGGGGTCAATTCAGAGCTGGGCAAGCAGAAGCTTTGAAAGACTTCGCGGGCTGACGATTCGAATCCGCATGGGCGGACAATTCGAGGATGCGAGGGTAGATTTTGGCCAGCCCTGAATGGGAAGTGCAAATTTCTGATCCACCAGTCCTGCGCGGAAGGCACAAATTCTGCGCCGCCTTCAAACAACGACCTCCTTCCCCACCTCTTCTTCCAATTATACTCCTTCTCCTCCTCATCCTTCCTCTCGCTTTCCTATGCCTTGTCGCCTTCGCCCTGCTGGTTATTGTCCCTCTACAATTATTCAATATGAGTACTATTCCCCTCTCTCCCCTGATGCACTCCAGAAGATTGCCTGTGCCCCTCCGCGAACAGTGTTTTTAGTTACACACAGGTTTGGCGCGAATCCGCTTCTCACATTTGTTTTTCCAATCGGAACGTGTTCGGCTCTTCCAGAATGTTGTTCCCGCTGTAACGCTGGCCTCATTTTCGAGGTTCCGCTCAGTTCGAATCCTCCCGCACCCTGTGTTTGTACACAAAGGATTGGGGGAGTGTGTTGTTCATATCTGTTGTTCAATCCGAAGTTCGGTTCTTCCGACACGCTGCTCCCGCGGCAACGTTGGCCTCATTTTCAAGCTCCAACCGCCGTCCGTCCGCGAGGACGACAGTTGGGCCGTCTTCAGGTTGGTTCTGAGGTCGGGGATGAACAACTGCATAAACATAAACTTTTTTCGGCGGTCCTCCGTGGATTTCCTGGATCCGCGCTGGGACTCCCTAGCGTCGCTTCCATCGCCCCCTCTCCGCAAACCTCCTCCCACGGCCGCGGGTGATCAGTTCCCGCAAGGCGGCAAAATAAAACGCCGGGTGGGGCAGACGATAAAAACACAGTTTCATGCGGCTGAATTCTAGTAGTCTGCCCCACTCATTCATTTTGGGGCCCCCGGGACGGGGGGTGGGGCACTTTCTTAATCGTTTGCCCCCCAGTACTGACATCTGGCCGAGGCGGCAAGGAAACCGAAACCGCTCGAAACCAACCGACCGAAATCGAAGGCGCACCGGCGCTACAACCGACCGAACCGAACCGGGGTGCGCAGTCATGGGCGCGATCTGGGCGCCTGCATCACCATGCCCTGGTGCAGGTGGCCCAGATCCTCGGGCATGCTGCTCGTGTGCTTTGCCTCTCTGCCGATGCTATTGCTCCCTCTCCTCCTGCTCCTCTTCTCCCCTACTGCTCCGGCTACACAGTTCACCTTCGATGCCTCCCTGACTGACCGCATCAACCCACCTCCCGACACAGCGCACGACTCATATTGAAATGATCTTCTCGCGCTCGCAGTACACGATTCGCCAATGACTACGCCCCAACCTCGTGCACTTCCATGCGCCTTCGAAACGGATGATTCCGCCCGTCTACCTGCTCACCTCCTCGCGTCCCACCCTGCCCAAATCGGGGCGAGGCCGAGAGCATCAAGACACCTACCTCGCCTCCTCCCTCCTCACTCCCTCCTCACTCCCTGCTCCTCCTCCTTCTCCTCCCTCCTCCTCCTCCACCTTCCGTGTCCCCCCCTGCTCCCGCCTTCCCACCACGTCCGTCAAGCCAACCACCTACCCATCTGAACCCACCCCGATCGTTCCTGCGGCAGCCTCGACCGGCCCGATCCGAAGCGACTCCCCACCGCACCCTGCCTCCATCCGACCACCCAACGCCTCCCTGCGCATTGCGCTCCCGCCCCTTCTGCCCTTGGCGAGCCGTCGGTGGCGTTAAAACAGGGCTAGGATCGGGATAAATCGATCCAGAGCGTTCCGGAGCGCTCTCAGAGCGTTCCGGAACGCTCTGGAGCGGCCGCGGCGCCCAATACATCCTCCAAACCCGCCGACTCTCAGAGATTTCGAGTTATCCCGATCCGATTTTGTCCCGATCTTCGCGTCGTTTTAGGCGTGCCCCACGGTCAGCCCGGCTGTTCCTCCCACTTCGACGTCGAAACCCTCCCGCACGACGCGCGCAACGCCCCACTTCGCACCGGCCTCCCGTGCCCGAGGCCGCCTGCGCGCGCTCTGCCTCCGTCGATGCTCCACGGCCGGGGCCCTCCCCTGCCTCGGTAGCGTTTTCTCCTCCGGCCTTTCGACCTCTGGCTCCAGACCTCCGCCTCGTGCCATGCTTCGCAGCACTGCGCCCCGTGGGGGAGACTCCACCTGCTCGACGGAACAGGCGCCCAAAACAGCCGAGCCCCCGAGAGGAGGGAGGCCGCCAGCCTCTGGCGGCGCCCGCACAGCGGGGGCGGCGCGCGGCGGCTCCGCGGGCCCTGCGCTGAAGACGCTCCGCCCCGCAGGGGACGGGGGAGGAGGGTCGAAGGAGGTAGAGGAGGCAGAGCAGGAGGCGGGGGAAAAGGAAACAGAAGCAGAAGCAGAAGCAGAAGCAGAGGAGGAGGAGGAGGAGGAGGAGGAGGAGGAGGAGGAGGAGGAGGGAGGAGGAGGAGGAGGAGGAGGAGGAGGAGGAGGCTGAGGAGGGCCCGCGCCGATCGGCAAAACAGTGAACAACAAAACGATCACCCGCTCCAGCGGGCCCCACGCCCGGCGCGGCCGGGCGCGTCTCGCCGGCTCTGCTCGGACGTGCCTGCGATCGCCGGCGCTGCGGATGAGAAGGTGCCTGCGCTTGCCAGCGCACGCGCAGCCCATATCCGAAGCGTCCGCACGATCCCGTCATTTGTATATATATATATATATATATATATATGTTTTTGTTTTTTGTGTCTCCCCCCCCCCCCCGCACCACGGACAGAACTATCGCCGAGCCCCTGCTCAACATGCTTTCCTGCCAACGTGGCCGAAAAACACGATCCCGTCCACCTGGAACCGCCCGCACCCGTGCAGAATGAATCCCCGGCCCGCTCGCGCTTGACGGGCTAGAAACCAGCGCGTGACCGTGGTCGTTGAACAGTTGTCAGCTTCAAGCTCTCTGGTCGCCAGACGCTGCCCTTGGCGATCCTTCCCTTGGGCGCCTCTGGCATCGCGACCGAGTGGCCTCGGTCCTCGCACGCCCCTCCCCGCAGCAGTTCATTCCTCTGCCCGTCGGCATCGCTGAAGAGGGAGGGCGCTGCTGCAAAGTCTGCTCAAGTGGCCACCAATGTTTCCTCCCCGACAAGACCGCGCGGTGCACCCGTGGGCGGGTGGTAATGCGGGGTGGCCTACAGACGTCGGGGGGCGAAGAACAAGGGCTCCAATGGGGCCCGTTTGGGGCCCCTGCTGGCCCCCCAACGGGGGGCTCAGGGGCCCCTTTGGGATCCTTGTCTACACCACCCCATGCAGGCCACCCCCCCATGACCACCCGCCCGACACTCGCTCCCTTTCAGAGGAAATAGAACTATGCACATACACCGATTCTCGCCAGGCCCAACCCTGAGCCCATGATCGGTGCATGCGCCCTCCTGCCTTGGCCACCCCCCCATGTGGAGGAAAAAGAACGATGCACAGCCCATCCTGAGCCCAGGATCGGTGCGTGTGCATAGTTCTCTTCGCCCCCCCCCCCATGACCACCCGCCCGACACTCGCTCCCTTTGGTCAGTCTCGATTCTGAGCGCTCGCCCACCTCGCCTTTCTCTCGACGCAGGTGAGCTCTGCAGCGGGGCGCACGCGCCCCGAGCACGCGGGGCGAGAGGGGACGACGCCTCGAGGACCGAGACGAAGGGAGGAGAACAGCGGCGGCGACGGCGCACGGGAGGCCGACGAACAAACGGGCCACGACCGCGCCAGGTGGGCCGAGAGCGGGGGGGCGGTGAGCCCACCTCGCACGACTATCACGAAACCCCTCATGGGTCTGAGTGCGCCGCCTCTCCCGCTTCGGCTGCGAACGCAATGCGCGATCGCCGTCGCTGCAACGAAGAAAAGCAATCGGCCTCGCTGGGCCCCTGGAGGCCTCCAGAGACTCCTGGAGGTCCCCAGAGTGCCGCTGCCGCGGGCGGGTCCGGATGGGCCAATTCGTGCGCGAGGATGGCGATGATCTCGTCGTCGGTCATGGCCTGCTGCGCCAACGGCTGGCGTGACAGAGCTGGCGATATGGAGCGAGTGACGACGAGGAGGAGACAGGAAAAGGACGGGGAGACGGAAGGACGAGGATGAGGACGCTGAGGAGGACGAGGAGCGAGTGAGGAGACGGGAGGAAAAGACCGCAACGCTGAGGAGGACGAGGAGCGAGTGAGGAGACGGGAGGAGAAGACCGCGGGTGGGCGTGGAGGCTCCCTCGTGGCTGCGCGTCACACTCGTGCCCGTGCCTGGCGGCCCTCTTGGACACCGTGCCCCAGCGCCCAGCAGCATCCTCCCTCCTCCCTCCTCCCTCGCATCCTCCTCCCTCCTCCCTCGCCTCCTCCTCCATCATTTCTCCTTTCTCTTCCCCCTCTACCTCCTCTTCCTCATCCTCCCTCCTCCCTCCTCCCTCCTCCCTCCTCCCATCTCCTCCCATCTCCTCCTCCTCCTCCTCCTCCTCCTCCTCCAGCCCTCCAGTCCTCCTCCTCCTCCTCCTGTTCCTCCTCCACCTCCTCGCAGAGGAAGCGCAGCGCAGTGCCGCTCTACAGAAAAAACGCTTCATCAAAGAGGCGCTGCATACTCAGCTCGACAAAGCTCACGACACCATGGTGCCCAGTGCGCAGTGAGAAACAGTGCAGGCAACGAGGATCGGACACGTTCCTCCCCCTCCTCCCCCCCCTCCCTCCTCCTCCTCCTCCCTCCTCCTCCTCCTCCTCCTCCTCCTCCTCCTCCTCCTCCCTCCTCCTCCTCCTCCTCCTCCTCCTCCTCCTCTCCTCCTGTCCTCCTCCTCCTCCTCTCCTCCTGCTCTCCTCCTCCTCTCCTCCTCCTCCTAATTACTCTCCTCTCGCGGGCCCACGCCAACGTGGATTGAGGATCCTTCGATCCCCGGCTTCTCACCCCGAGTCGTTTCCTGACGGTCCTGGGGCCCCGCGAGAGCCCCGCGAAAACCAGCCGTCGCGATTTGTTCACCCGCCGGCCGGCCGCGAAGGGCGGCGTCTGCCTGCGTGGGGGTGCTGCTCCAGACCGACTCGCCCTCCTCCTCCGGCGCGTCCACCTCCTGGCCGAGGCGGGGAACGGCAAGGCCCGTCGCAGAAGGCACGGAGGTCCCCTCCGCAGCTACGGAGGGAGGGGGGGAGGGGAGAGGGGCAAGCTAGGTGCGCTCGCGTCATATCTGACGTCATACCCCTCCCTCCCGTCCCTTACCGTGGCGCTGATTTTCTCTATCCGCGGACGCGTGTCGTAGCGGACCTGTGGCGCCGCGCGCGCGTGCGTAGTGGGTGGCGGTGCGCGTGCGTGCGTGCGTGCGTGTGTGCGTGGTTGTCGTGGTGGTGGTGGTGGTGGTGGTGGTGGTGGTGGTGGTGGTGGTAGTGGTGGTGGTGGTGGTGGTGGTGCTGATGGTGGTGTTGGTGCTGGTGGTGGTGGTGCTGGTGGTGGTGGTGGTGGTGGTGGTGGCGCGGCGCGGTGGTGGCGGGCGGATGGGCGCGCGAGAAAGAGGCCCGCGCTGGGGCGAGAACGCCATCCTGAACGACGGAAGCCAAACGCCGATCCGAAAACGAGGCCCACGCTGCAGCGGGAGCACGATTCGGACCGATTCGGGAGCATAAATGAGGCCGGCGCCTCAGCGAGAGCAGCGTTTGGGAAAAAAACGCAGGCGAAAACCCGTTTCACGGGAATCCTGTGTTAAAAAACAATGCGCGGGGGGGGGTCGGCGATCACCCACCCAACCGCCATCAGGGGAAGTGGGAGAATATTTTAGAAGGGGTGGGTGAGGGAGGGGGGTGGGAGGGAGGCGGGGATGGGGAGGTGTGTGTGTGTGTGTGGGGCGGTGACATGGGACCTGGGTCCGCGTTCGCGCCTGCCTGAGCTACCTCCTACCCCTCCAGACCTGTGGGAGGGGGAGGGCAGCTGGGAAAGGGCCCGGCCTCGAAGAAGCCGGAAAACGAGATGGCGCCCGACCAAGGCGCACGCCGCCTGTGCGCCTCGGCCCTCTTGGCCTCGCGGCGGCGGCGGGCCTCGGCGCGCTTGGCGGCGATGAGGTCCAACTGCTCTCCCGTGAGGGGGGGCGGCCGCGGGGGCGAGGGAGGCAAAGGAGGCCGAGGGGGAGAGACGGGAAGGGAGGGGCAGAGCCCCAGCAAATTCTCAGCCTCTAGCTCCTCATCCGATCCTGGTTCATGCATGGGAATATTCATGCTGGGGCTGTCAGGAGCAAGAGTCGGAGCGGGGGTAGTAGCCGGAGTCGGAGCACATATGGGGCCCGTGGGAGTCTCACTGGGATCTTCCTGGAACCTGTGCATCTCTGGGTCGGCTCTCTGGGTCGGCTCTCTGCATCTCTTCTCGACTCTCTGGGATGGGGAGGAGGGAGGAGAGGGGGGATGGTGGTGGGAGGGGGAGAGATGATGGGGGTGGGGTAGGGGGAAGGGATGAGGGACGAGGTGCGTTCGCGCCATATCGGCCATCCTACCCCTCCCACCCATCCCTTCCCATTGCTCTCACTGTTCTCTGCCCTCCGCCGACGCATGTCAGAACGAACCTGGAACTCAAATAATGATCCCGTCATGCGCAGTGGGAAAACAAGGGAGCTGCGTACATTGGAAGAGGAGGTGCTGGCAGATGAGCAGGAGCAACAGGAGGATCAGAAAGGAAGAGGCAGGACGAGGAAGAGCTGATGTGAACGAGCGGGAGGAGCAGGAGGACCAGGGGCAGGTGCAGGAGGGGAACCGATGGCGGCGACACAGACTAACGAGGTCCTGGGTCCAGAAAAGTGGCCCGCGCTGAGGCCAAATCGCCATTTTGAACGACTTGCCGTCGCTCGGACGTCTTTTCCCAGTGCCTTTTTCTGTTTCGTGTGTTTATCTTTTCGCAGGATGCTCCAATTTGCTCCTCTATGGTTCCCACCGAGAAAAAAGCACACGTCCCAGCGATGCAAAGCGGGAACAAAGCGCCGCTCCGAAAATGAAGCCCGCGCGGCAGCGGGAAACCATCCTCAAACACCGGAAGCAACTGGATTGTGAACACAAGTGTTAAGAAACACGCATATTTGAAATCCTGTGCGTGATACGCGGAGAGGGCCGGCGATCCCCCGGACGGAGTCAAGGGAGAGAGGAGGGTAGTATTCATCATACTTATGTGCAGGAGGAGGACGAGGAAGGGGGGAAACAGAAAAAGGACGAGGAGGGTCGAGGATGGAGGGTCGAGAATCGAGGGTCGAAGAGGGGGAGGAGGGGGAAACAGGAGTATCGAAGAAGGAGCGGGGAGGGAATGAGAGAGCGAGGACAACAGGCGGAGGGATGGCGGCGGAAACGAGGGAGGGAGAGAGGGGAGGACGAGGATAAAGAAACACTTTACAATAACATGTTTGAGAGTCACGGTCTGAGGAAGGGGGGAGGGGGGAGGAAGGGACGCAAGGGATGGAGGAGGCGGCGGAAGAGGATGAACACCTGAACGAGCTCGTTGAGCATCAGCATGCCAGCGCCCCCGTCGCCGAGGAGGGTCAGGGTCGCGGGAACAGCGTCCTGCGGGAAGGCTGAGGGGAGAGATGGAGGAGGGACGGAACTGGGGAGGGCAACGGGGAGAGGGGAGGAGAGTGAATTGGCGAAAGGGGGGAAGGACGGGTGACGGAGAGTATCGGAAAGGGAAGTGAGGAGGAGAGGTGGGTTGGCGAAAATGGGGAGAGGGATTGGGGAGACGAGGGAGTGGAAGGGAGAGGCAGGGAATGAAACGAGAGGTGAGTTGAGTGGGGTGAAAAAGGGGAGGAGGAGGAGGAAGAGGAGGAGGAGGAAGGGGAGGAGGAGGAGGAGGATGAGGAGGAGGGGGGGGAGGAGGAAGAGGCGGCGGAGGAAAAGGAGGACAAGCTAGGTGCGCTCGCGTCATATCTGACGTCCGACCCCTCCCTCCTTTACCCTGGCGCAGACACCCTCTCTATTCGCAAGGTCGGATGTCGAGCAGGGCAATGAGCGCGAGAGGGTACGCGATGCATGGTAGAGCACACATTACCATAGGGTGGAAGAGCACATCAGAGCGTAGCATCCCATAGCATGGTGTGGCATTGAGCAATGAATCATTGCAACACAAAACGTTATAACGCAAACCATGAAATCGCACAGCGGCGCAGAGCGCACCACGGCACAACATATCATGGCCTGGCGCTGGGTTCATTGGAATGTACGTGGATCGTCTTCGAGAGGTCCGGGCTGGTCTGGAGTCGTGGTTCCATATCTAGCTCCTTGGGCTCCCCGAAAAGCTCCACACAAGGCGAGGCGAGGCAGATGGAGAGCACCTGCTGGCTCTGCTTCCAACATCGCCTTCTCAAAGCAGAAACAAGGCTCCCGCTTGATACTTCCTCTGCGGCCCCAGAAATCCACGAACCGACACCGAATGTGTAATCACTTCTGATGTTTTTTCGGGCGGGCATTCTCTAGATTTTGGGGCCTACCTATAATGGCCAAAACACCCGCGCTGCAGCGGAAACACAATTTGGAACAACCAGAGGCGCAGAAATGGGGCCAGAGCTTCAGCGGGAACAACATTCTGACAAACAACCAAAGCGAAAACCCGAATTCCAGGAATCCGGTGTGAGAAAACGGTACGCGGAGTTGGGCAGGATATCTTTTGGACGTCATCAGGGGAGAGATGAGCGTAATATTCATATTGCGTAGGTGCGGAGGAGGAGGACAAGGAGGCGGAGGAAAAGGAAAAGGAGAAGGTGGAGGAGGGGGAGGAGGGGGAGGAGGAGGAGGAAGAGGAGGAGGAGGAGGAGGAGGAGGAGGAGGAGAAAGGAAGGAGAAAGGGCGAGGAGGAGGAGGACGAGGAGGAGGAGGCGGAGGAGGTGGAGAACAGGAGGAGGAAGAGGAGGAGGAGGAGGAGGAGGAGGAGGAGGAGGAGGAGGAGGGAGGAGGAGGAGAAAAGAGGGAGGAGGAGGAGGAGGAGGAGGAGGAGGAGAAAGGGAGGAGGAGGAGGAGGAGAAAGGGGGAGGAGCAGAAGAAGGAGGAGGAGACGGACGAGGAGGAGGAGGTGGAGGAGGAAGAGGAGGCGGAGGATGAGGAGGAGGCGGAGGTGCAGCAGGAAAAAGAGAGGAAATGTGGTTGGGATGCGGAAGGGACTGGCTCTGCCTGGCACCGCCCCCCCATGCCCAGGCGAGGCCACCGCCCGGGGCCGCGGCCCCGAGGCCCCCACCAGGGCGCCCCAGAAGGGGCGCCCGCCCACGGCGCCCTCCAGTAGCATCGATCCTCGAAACCCCGAGGACGACAAGGACGAGGACGAGGACGAGGATGACGACGACGACGACGACGAGGACGACGACTGACGACGACGGCGACGTCGCCGCGCCGCTCTCCCTCGGCTCCTCCTCGCCGCCCCCGGTTCTGGCCCTCTGCCCTCCCCGGGCTCCTCCGCTCCGTCGTTCTCGTGCTGCCCGAGGAAGAGCGTGTCGTAGAGCCCGATGATGGAGCCGTCGATACCGCCGACGAACGCGTTCGCGCGCGCGTCCTTGTGGCTACCGTCCACCATGTAGATCTCGTGGATGCTGATGTTGCGTTCCCTTGCAAAGCCCATTACCTTGTCGCGCAGGGACCTCCCGGACCTGCCGGCAAGCGGCGGCGGGAGTGACCACAAGCGACAACTGTGTGCATAGACTGCTTGTGCTGCATGTATGTGGGAGGAAGAGGGAGAGAAAGAGAAAGAGAGAGTGAGAGACAAACACAAACATAACGCAAGAGAGAGAAGTAAACTCGATCACACATATGCCATCAAAGCTGAGCGAGAGAGAGGGCGAGAGAGATGGAGACAGAGATCCACCGACCCCCGCTTGCCGGGGGTGAGAAGGCGTGTGAGATGACTGGTGTTCGGCCTCCCCCTTCCCCCTCCCCCTTCCCCCTCACCAAGGTCCAACACCCACATTAAGGGAGAGGGGAGGGGGGGTATCCGGTATCTGGGCTCCTCGGCGCACCCCTGGAGACTCTCCAGAGCTTCCAAATCTGCCTTCCGTGGCCTCGAAGATGGTACAGGACGGTCTCGAATCGCGGAATGATTGGCCCAAGACGCCCACGATGGCTCCAAGACGCCCCAAGACGCCTTCGAGACGCCCCAAGAGCCTTCCTAAGAGGGCCCCAAGAGGTACACATCAATTGTTTTCATAAGTTTTTGTCAATTGATTCTGGGGTTTCCGTCTTCTCGAGCTTCCGACGCTCCAAGACGGCCCAAGAGGCCCCGTAGACCGCCCCCAAACTGTCCAAGAGGCACCCGCGAGGGCCCCAGGACGGCCCAAGAGGGTTCCAAGGCGGCACAAAGAGGGGCCCGAAACTGCCAGCGATCGCCCCAAGAGGGCCCCAAGTGTGGCAAAGAGGGAGAACACGAACCGAACATGCTATCGGTCCGCCCCAGGGGGCAAGGGGCCCCCAAAGGCCCCTAGAAGCCCCCAAGCGGCCCAAAAGAGGTTCCCAAAACTTAAGCCCCAAGAGGCCCAAAAGAGGCCCCAAAGCGGCCCCCAACACGCTTCAAACCTGCCTCCAAGAGGCTCCACCAGGCCCCAAATTAACTCCCCAAACGCCCACATTGCCCAAGAAACCCACGACGCCTCAACCGTGGACCCCACGCCACTTCTGCGCGTCGGCAGAATATGGCGTAAACAGAGAGAGGAGGCTAGACCGCTCTGTCTTCCCACGATGGTAACAAATTTATGGTGGATGCACTTGCTCGCGCTCCTGTGCCAAAGCTCGAGAGCTCGATCACACACTCACGGACGAGCATCGGCAGCGAAACTGCAGAGGGAGGCTGGACCGACTGATTAGATCTGCGCGCAGTCAGCCCCGCTCGTCTCCGCCCTACCCTTGCCTGCAGTGCAAATTCGACTCCTCTTGGCCTCTGTAACGCCCCCAAACCACCAGACTGTGCAAAAACGCTCCAAACCGCACACGAAAGGCCAAACACCTCGGTCCTCGATATTCGGCGACGAAAATTGCATCACTGTTGCAGCCCTACTGCTCTACGAGTTCACGGCTCTCCGACTTGCGCCTCGGCAATTGGACGGCGCACCTCCTACCCCAAGCTTCCCCAGGAGACTCCCGCGCCATCTGGTCACATAAGCACGTCGCATCTTCGGAGGATGCCAGGCCAGAGGTGCCCCAACGTGTCCTCCCCAAGCCCCCCCAAACACCCTGGTCTCCCTGTTTTTTTCGACTCGGGAGGCGGCAAGCAGAGAGACGAGCCACGCACTGAAACACCACAGTGCCGCAAACCCTAGTCGGCGGCTTGCACAAGCAGGCAGTAGGCGAGAGCGGTGGCCTTCTGAGATGAAGCGGGGCTTCTCATGGGCGCCACTGCCTACTGTGAGGCGTTCTTCGAAGCCGCCGATGCCCTCCACCAAACAACCGGCCTTCCCAGAAAGCTCCTGGGGGGTACGAAAACGCACCGACATCGCCAGTCCACGGACCTCTCCTGGGGCGCATTCTGGCCAGAATTTCGGGGAGACCCCAGCCGTGGCGACGAAAGCTCTCCAGGACGAGCAGCGATATCCGTATCTACTTTCCAGGCTCCCACACCCGCCCCACCCCGCTGTGCGCGCCGCCGTCAAGATCTGACCTCCGAGACCGAGCCCGAAAACCTGCCTCGAAACCGGACCCTGCAGCCGGGCTCAAGCGGCGCTTTGTGGGCGCAATGCCACCACCATTCTACAACTCTGTGCCGAGCCATCGCGATCACAACCGGTGCTTACGTAGACCTGGCTCGGGACACATCGAATGACATCTTCATACAACGCAGACTGTGATCGATCATCGCAAACCTCTGCACTGTTTCCAACTAACACACCAATAGTGCACAACCATATGCACTACGCAAACCCATAATCACTGAGGGCCGACCTGCAGCAGGCGAGCCAACACGCAAGGCCTTGGCCAATGCAGATGAACTAAAACGGTCGTAGCCACGGCAACATACCAAGGCTGTCCTGCGCATGCGGCCGAGGCACGGACCCCAGATCCCGCGCCTAGGCGCCGTGAGTCGCTAGGTAATCTCGCACGTCCCAGAGGACTTCACTGGGCCCTCCTCCGCAAGAGAGCCAGCCAAAGCGAAACCAAAACGAAATTGAGCATCGTCGTACTTGAGTCGAAGCCCCTTCCCTGTGATCCCTTCCCCCAGGGGGGAGGGGGAGGGTCCTGGAGGGGGTCCAGGGGGGGGCCCTGGAGAGGGTCTGGGGGGGGGTCCTGGGGGGGGTTGGGGGCGGTTTTGGGGGGGGTCCTTGGGGAGGAGGGGTCCCGGGTCAGAATGCCATCCTCCCCCCGGGGGGTCCTGGGGGCCACAAGGCCCCAAGACAGCCCAAGAGGCCCAAGACGGTCGACGAGGGCCTCGAATCGCCGAACAATCGGTCCAAGACGCCATAGATGGCCTCCTGACAGCCTAACAGGCACAATTCAATGATTTCTTTGGGATGTTTGAAAGATTCTGGCGTTCTCGCCGTTTCGTCTTCCCAACGCCCCAACATACCACCATACCACCAAGATCGGCACAATAGGCCTCTAATATGTTTCCAAGACGGCCCCAAAACGACCCGAGAGGGCTCCAAGACGGCTCTAGAGGCCTCCCACACGGCCCAAGAGGGTGCCCACACAGGACCCCGAACGAACATTTCGAGCCCTCGGCCCCGAGAAGCTCCCAGGAGGGCCCAAGAGGCCCCCAGGAGGCCCCCACGAGGGCCCAAGAGGCTCCCAAGAGACTCCCAGGAAGCCCGAAGGACCCCCAAGGCTCCCAAGAGGCCCCCAAGATGCTCCCAAGAGGCCCCCAAACTGCCTCCCAGAGGTCTACGAGCGCGCTCCGAAGAGGCCCCACGAAGCATCACTGAGCACTCCGCCTCATGTCAGCGTCGTCGCCGCCAACGCTGGGCCAACGCCGCAGTCGTGGCCGTCGTCCACCTTCAGGGTCGGCGGCACCGGCCGGAAGGCCTTCCGAATGAGACGCACATTGAAGCTCCATGGATCGGGGGCGCGCAAACACGGATTAGCGATCCATGGATTCGGCGCGCGGTCGCCAAGTCCATGGATCGGGGGAGGCGCCCTCCCCGAAATGCGGCCGGTGCCGCCTCGCTCGGCGGCGACAGTCCGCGATTTCCCATGGAAGCGGGACTCGTCGCTGATCCACGCGATCGCCTGAATGGACCACCACGCATCGGGGCCTCTCCAGCGGCACCTCCTCCCCCCCCTGCCCCGGCAGCGCGGCCGCCTGGCGCCCACGCGCTCTGGGGCCGCCTCCCCCGCGCTCCAGCGCTGCCGCCCGAGGTCGCTCAGGAGCTCCTCTGCGCTGGCGTTCTGCGGCGCCCGCGCCTGGGACCTCCCGCTCCGGCCCCGAGGCAGACCTCCAACGCATCGAGAGCACCGGGACGGAGGTGTGTCTCAATCTTCGGCCTTTGGGGGTCCTCGCCAGGACCTGGGACCGTCAGAGAACGACTCCCGATTCAAAAACGGCCCCGGGGAGGGGGTCGGGACCTCCCGCTCCAGCTCCAGGGCCCTGTTTAGGACAGAGGACACCGGCACAAACAGAAACACTGCCGGAGCTCCGCGCGGATCTCTTGCACCGGCGCTGAGCTCCTTGGCGGCACCTCTGGCGCCGCCCCTGGCGCCCTCCGCGCGCCAGAAAGGGGAAGCCAGCGCCGATCAGCGCGGAGCTGCGACAGTTTAGCTCTCTGCCGTTCTCTCTTCTTCGATCAGGTCGGGCATGTCCTCCTGCAAGCAGGTTTTGTAGGACAAATACAGATCGTCAACATATGATCAACAAGTGGAAAGACAGCATGAAACATCGTCCCTAGTCTGTCTTTAATCATTCTCGAATGTTCCTCCTGTAGATCGGGAGCGGCCAAGAGGGGGGTGCGCAAATCATGGCCAGCGGCATGTGCGCGGCCCAGGGGGGGGGGCCAGGGACGTAAGGAAATCTAAGAAGAGGCGCCATGAACTCTGGGGAAATATCAGGGCCCACGCCATGATATCCCCCCCCCCTAGTCACCACCCCCCTCTTTGCCGCCCCCGACCTTCAGGCTTCACCAGGCTTCTGCCCAGTGCCGGAGCGGCTTCCACGCACGCCCGGCGCCTCTGCGGCGACGGGTCGACACATGGCCGCCCCCCCGCCCCCCGACATTCCATCGCGCTTGGACACGAGCTTTGCGCGGAGCTCTCCCTGCGAGGTCGGGAGAAGCCTCCGAGCGTCCACAGTGGGTTCACAGTCTCTCCTGGCAGGGCACAGCGCAGCGATTAGCAGCGCTTGGACAAGCTGCGACGGCATAACCCACCGCACCCATAGCGTGGTCTTTGGGACACCAGACAATCATACAGCCAACACTACGACGAAGGGAGGGAGGGATTGCAAGGACTACCGCCTTCACAAGAGCGAGCAAAACGGAGACCGAGCGTTTGGGCATAAACTCTGGGAGATCCGATCTCACCACTCCCGCCTCCCGACTCGTCTTGGACATCGGCTAATTGCGTGGCACGCATGATCCCCTGGAGGGAGGGAGGATGAAGGGAGGGAGGGAGGATGAAGGGAAGGAGAGAGGGAAGGAATGACCCCCTGGAGGGAGGTGGGATGAAGGGAAGGATGAAGGTAAGGAGGATGAAGGGAAGGATGAAGGGAGGGAGGCAGGGAGGGAGGATGAAGGGAGGAAAAGAGCGACGGAGGAAGGAACTCATGTACCAATTCGATTGGGGAGACGCAGCCAGGCCAGCAGCGCCCAGGCCTTCATGGAGGGACCTGTCCCATGCCGCTGCTGACGTGGAGCCCAGGCCACCAGCCTCGGGCGGGTGCTACTGAGGGATGGCCCAAATGGGGGGCGAAGGAAGGGCCCTATATGGGGCCCTTAGAGGGCTCCGTTTGGAGCCAGTGGGTGCCCAAAAGGGGCCCTAAAGGGCCCCTGTAGGCCTCTCCTGGGCCCCTTTTGGACCCTTCTGGGCCCCTTTAGGACCCTTCTGGGCCCAAATGGGGGGTGAAGAAAGGGTCCTATAGGGGCGCTGCAGGGCCCCTTTTGGAGCCAGTGGGTGCCCTAAAGGGGCCCTAACGGGCCCCTTTAGGACCCTTGTCTTCACCCCCCGTGTGGGTCCCCCCGCATCAACACCCGCCCTGTAGCGCCATCGTAACCTGGAGGGTTTGTAACTAGTGGCAGGTGCACCACCAAGCACGGGTCCAATAGTGATCCGGATGCTTTTGCCAACGCGTCTCATTGATGCACGGCTTCTGACTGACTGACTGTAGCCCCAATGCGCGGATATCCCCCAAGGTGTGCCGGGGTTGGGGACCTCCTCGGGTGCCCCTGGGCCGAGGAAGGGAGGGAACGAGCCTGCAACAGTGCAGCCGGATCGACGATATCACAGCGACTGGATAGAGACGGCAACGGGGGAGGACAAAGATGCCCCCCCCTTCCCCTAAATGGCCGCGACCAGGGGCTCCCGCAAAAGGGGGGGGAGCAGGATGAGGGAGGGAGGGGGAGGGAGGAGGATGAGGGAGGGAGGGGGAGAGAGGTGGGAGGGAGAGGAGGGAGGGAGGGAGGGAGCAAGGGGGGAGGGAGGGGGAGGAAGAGGGGGAGCGAGGGAAGGGAGGGCGAGGGAGGAGGGAGGGAGGGGGGGAGGGGGGACGGAGGAGGGATTGAGCGAGGGGGGAGGGGGAGGAGCTCCTCCTGCGCCTCCAAACCTTCCTGCTGGAGGCCCCCCCGCCGCGCCCCTCCGAGCGTACACCGGCACCGCCGAGGCCAAGGGCCCTGCCGGCCTCCGCGAGGGGAGGGGGGGCCCAGGGAGGCGTGGGACGGGTTCCCTCCCCTCCATCCTGCAGGAGCCTCCAGACCTCTAGGGGTGCCACTCCTCCTCCTCCTCCTCCTCCTCCTCCTCCTCCTCCTCCTGCTCCTGCTCCTGCTCCTGCTTTTGCTTGTGCTTTTGCTCCTCCTCCTCCTCGCAAGGCGCGGTGGGGAGGGCAGCTGAGGCACACAGAGGGACGGTCATGATAGCAGTGACGGGGAGGAGGTCAGGAGGGCCGGGTGTTGCCAGAGATGTCCCCGGCCCCAGGTGCCCCCAGGGCTTCCAAGGATGCCCCCAGGGCCTCCAGAAACGCCCCCCACGAGGCCGAGAGGGCCTCATATGACTCCAAATCATAGCGCAGCTCTGGTGGCAGCTTGGGCCAGGGACGCCCTTAGCAACCCTCGAAGGGGGGGAGGGAACCAGGGATGAGGGGCAACGATAGCGGGGGAGGACTGGCATAAGGGAGGGCACATCGACCTGGAATCAGCAATACATCGCCGATAGATCGGCGATAGGCTCCCAATAGTGAATCCGCACGTTTCAGGGCAGGCTGGGCCTGTCGGGCCCCTATCGGCGATCAGTGGGCGACTAGGGGTCAATGCATGGTCCTCTCGGGGTCTTCACTCTTCTGGCCGAGTGCGCGATCCCCGAGCGACTGCTCCACGAAGCTGAGGCCTTGGCCACCGAGGCCAGGTCCGACGTCCGACCTCCTGAGCCCAGTGGCTGCCGCCCAAGACATCCCGGACACCAGCATCGTGCAGGCTTCGGGGATGGACAGGCCTCCCTTTAGTAAAACGTGGTTTAGTGAAAACGACCTGAGGCCCACACCTGGCGGGCGCAAGCCTGGACAATGACGGCCACGGCGCCCTCTCGAGAACCGAAAGCGGACAATTCACTAATCGACGTGACACTGTTGGGGGTTCTGTCCACCCCCGCAGGCTATGGCCCAAATGAGCCCCATGATGACGCAGGATACGGAAGATGCGAGCTCAGACACGGCCGACAAGAAGTCCCCGCTCGAGAGCAAAGCCATTGGTGCTTGGTCAGACGAGGGCGGCGCAGGCTCTGCGGAGTCGGTGACCAAGACCATTGCGTTCAAGGCTCAATCGCTGCCCGATCTCGGTGATCTCGAAATCGGCCGCAGCACGGCGGCCACAGCCGTTGATCTGGCTTCCACGCGCGGGATCCACATATCCCTACACGCTAGAGTGTACCCAAGACGTGTCAGGGGAGGAGCCGAAGGCAATCGGCTGCTGCTCAGAATTGCAGGAAGATGCGTGATTTGATGTGCTTGTGTTTGTGCCCACGCCACAGGGGCGGAGGGAATTGGATCGGGGAAGGTACCCACCGAACTATGGCGCTGATGCCGCTCGATTTTGCAGCGGAGCGCGCCCATTCTGCGGAAGCGGGACCCGTCGCTAATCCGCGCGCCTCAATCCATGTTTGTGATCGGAGCTGGATGCTTCCGCTTCCTTCACTGCCATTTCAAACCTCCCCCTCCCCCTCCCCGCCCCCCTGCCCCTTTTTCCCCTGTCCCCTCCCCAGCCTCACGCGCTTGCTGTCCCGAGCGTGGCAAGAGGACCACTCCAGCTCCTTACGCTGGCTTGACTTAGCCGATCCAACGATCGGGAATCTTCTGACCCGGGTCAATCCAGACCCGGTCAGTCAGGCCTTGCAAGATCCTGCAGAATCCTTCAGGATTCTGCACCCAAGCCCGGGTCAATGCACCCCTGGCGCTGCAAGATCCTGCAAGACCTGGCGCTCTGATTGACCCCCGCTCTGATTGAGCCCCGAAACGAGGTGTTCAAGCCAAGCCCAGTTCCCCCCTCGTGGCCGACGGCGGCGCCTTCCCGCGATGACCCAGGAGCCGTTCGAGTCCGCGGCGAGCACGAGCTGCCCCTTCCGGGTGGGGGGTGGGTCGTCACCGCCGCCGCCGTCGCCGTCGTCGCCGTTGTCGTCGCCGTGGCCGCCGTTGTCGCTGCCGTCGCCGCCGCCGTTGTCGCGCGTCGTCACCGCAGTCGTCGCCGCTGGGGGGCGCTGCTCCTGGGGTGCCCTGGGCCTTGAAGGCAAGTGAGCCCAGAATCGAATCGATGAGTCGGATCCGCGATCGAAATTAATCGGATCGGCGGACATCGGCAGCCAAATCGGGAGAAGTCGAATCTGCGGAAGTCGGCAAGCTGATAGGCCTCGATTCAGAAATCGGAATCCGAACTGAAATCCGAAATCCAATCGAATCGGAATCGGAATCCATCGAAACCGAAATCGAATCTAATCGGAGGAATCGAAATCAGCCCTGTGAAGGTGGCCAGCGGACCACGGGCGTGGCTGCGAGGCGGGCGCGCCCGCCGCCGTCGCCGTCGCCGCCGTCCCCGCCGTCGCCGCCGTCCCCGCCGTTGTCGCCGCCGCCGTTGTCGTGCGTCGTCGCCACCGCTGCCGCCGCCGCCGTCGTCGCCGTCGCCGTCGCCGTCGCCGTCGCCGTCGCCGTCGCCGTCGCCGTCGCCGTCGCCGTCGCCGTCGCCGTCGCCGTCGCCGTCGCCGTCGTCGTCGTCGTCGTCGTCGTCGTCGTCGTCGTCGTCGTCGTCGTCGTCGTCGTTGTCGCCGTCGCCGCCGTCGCCGTCGTCGTCGTCGTCGTCGTCGTTTCCAATATTGCTTTTGCTTATTGTTTTCTGATGTTGGGCCTCCGGGTGGACATGGAGAGGGACCTCTGGATGCCCCTCTGGAGGTCGCCGAACGCATCACAAAAGTCCCTGGAAGCTCCCAAGAGAGACCTCTTCAGGTTCAGTAGGACACCGGGAGACGTCCCAAAAACGCGACCCTGGAGTGCACGGTCGGCAAACTGACTGGATGAGGAGACGGGGCTGGAGGACGCTTCATGCGTCCAGGGCGACACGGCCCAGCACAGCATGGGCGTGCCACGGAGTACGGCCGAACCTTCCAACCCCCAACTTGACCCGAGGGCCAGAACGGGATCGGGACCACGAGGCAGGACCCACGGGCAGGCCCACGCCAACCTGTCCTATCTCGACGGGAAAGAGCTGAGGAGGAGGAGGCGGAGGCGGAGGAGGAGGAGGAGGAGGAGGAGGAGGAGGAGGAGGCGAAGGTGGAGGTGGAGGTGGAGGTGGAGGTGGAGGTGGAGGAGGAGGAGGAGGAGGAGGAGGAGGAGGAGGAGGAGCCGAGGAGAGCCGCGCTTCGCGCAGCGCGAAGGGCAAGGCGCGATGATCCTGGCGCCCTCGCGCGGCTGTCCCGCAGGTGCGCGGCTCTCCGCCCAAGACTGCAAAGCGCAGCTGCCTTCGCGGCGCCAGTGGGTGGTCCGGCCGCTGCCTCCTCTCGGTGTCTCCCCTTCGCAATCATCCGGTGGCCGTCTTGGCCTGGTACTGCGCCGCCCAGATCGGTGCTGTTCGCTGGACCCCCCCCTCGCAATGATCAGGACGCTCCAACACGTCAAACCCTTCATCGGCCAGAGAACATGGCACCTTGCTTCGCATGAACCCTTTCGAGGGGCGCACATGTGCGGCAATGCGATGCCATGGCCATCTAAGAACGGTCACCCAACACAACACTTTGTGCACCAGACGCCACGACGCCACCGCCACAAAGCATCACGACTTGCGCGCGCAATCGCTGCCTGGCTCAAGTCATGCGTCGCCAGGATGGCGACAGGCGACCTGGAGACGTTGAAGAAGATACGGTTCAAAGACACCCAAGGGTGCGCTTTGTTCGACGTGCCCACGAGAGGAAAACCTCGTCCAACAACGAAGTTGTCAGTGGGGAACGCGTTGTTCATGCCCATAATCTTGGGAACAATTGCCTCCCTCATCGCTTGCTTCGGGTGTGGTGCGAAGAAACGCAACTGACACGCACAATATCATCTGCGCTGCCGTCAATCTGCGCTGCCGTCAATCGCACGCAATTCGGCCTCTGACCCGAACTTCACCCTGACGAATAAGAGGGGCGAGCCTCCTCCCTCCCTTGTCGTCCCAAACCTTCTCCTAACCCATCTGTCACTTTTCCTTGCCCTTTCATTACACCCCCCCACCTCCGACCTGCTCCTTGTCCCTCCTTCTCCTCCCGCCTTCCCTGAATCTTTCTCCTCCTCCTTCTCGTTCTCCCTCCTTCCTCCTCGTCCGTCCGGCTCCTCCTCCCCTCCTCCGCGTCCCCGCTTCACCCCTCCTACCCCCCACCCTCCACCTCCACTCCCCCCGTCCTCGACAGTCTGGGCTCAATGTGCAAACGCGGGGCCGCGGAGTCGACCGCCCCCTCTGTGCGCAAGCCCGCTCGTGCGCGCGCGCGGCGCGAGCGACGTGCACGCGATGCGCGTCTCATCAGTGCTGCTGTCAGTGCTGTGAACGACCCATGCAAGAATGACTGCTTCTTCGGGCCCTGCGCCGATCCTGTCAACCACGGGCTGCCTCGGCTGCGATGCTCGACCGTGCCATGCCCACCTGCGAACCTCAGGAGTGCGGGCACCTGCTGAGCCGCCTCTTGCTCCCGAAAGGTGGTACTGCATGCTTACCCGCACCTCCTGGATGCGCCAAGACCGACGGCCCGAGAGGGCCCCAAGAAGGGGAACTCGAGCTGACACTTCGAGCCCCCTGCCCCACGATGACCCCCGAGACCGCCAGCAGGCCCGCAAGAGGCCCCCAAGAAGCCCCAGGAGGCCGACCGCGCCACTTCCCATCATTGCTGGACTGCCGCCCTGCGCCCAGCCTCCCAAACGTGAGCACGCTCGGCTTGCCCCTCCCCCCCCCCCCATGCGCGGCCTGCGAGCTTTGCGGCTCGCAGGATGCCTCGCACTCAGCACTCTGCGCAACGTGGCGCCGTCAAGCAACCAACTCGGGCCAAACCTGCTTGCTTTCCCGCTTCACCGGCCCGATCTGGCTTGCGTCAAATATCTCTAGCAAGATGACCCAACATCGAGTCGGAAAATCGAATCGGCAATCGAAATGCATCGAATAGGCAGACATCGGCAAGCAGATCGGAAGGCATCGGAATCGACGTCCGCCAGCCCAAGCTGAGGCTCACACGAAAAAACAGAGCCACAATCGGAATCCATAGTCGAATCGAATCGAACTCGGAGTGATCGACACCGAACCGATTTGAGTCGACGGAGTCGAAATGGTTCCCGTCTGGCGTTTTCGGTGCTTCGTTGATGACTCGACCTCGGGCTCCACCCCGAACCCTCCTCCTCCTCCTCCTCCCGCATTCCTTCCTCGTCCCTCCTCCCTCCTCCTTCCTCCTCCCTCTTCCCCTGCTCACAGCTTCTGAGGACAACCCTGGAGTCCTCGCGTGGCAACTTGAGGCCAAAGGTACATCGGCTCGTCGGATCCACGTCGGATCCACGTCGCGTGTACGTCGGACTTACGTCGGAACATCGCCGCGCGAACGTCGTCCCATATCTGACGGGGCAGACGTGCGGACAAGATAATGCAAATATTGCGCGCCGCGCGAGGCCTCCAGGATCTTCAAGGGCAACGATCGGGGGGGACTGGCACCGGGGGGGAACAGCGCACATCGCCGATAGATCGACGCTCCCGACATCGAGTCCGCACGTTCCTGGGCGGGGTGGGGCTATCAGGCCCCTATGAGCGATCGATGGGCGATTGGGGGTCGATGCGTTCCCCTCCCTGAGCCTATCTCACCCTGCTCGCAGTTACTTCATTCGAGTACGACCCTCCCTTTCCACTGACAAAAAGCTAAGTTGCTCCCACCCCTCCCCTGACTTGTTACGAACACGGGCTTCAAACGCTGGCCTTTCATACGTCTTTTGCTCTCGTTCGGGATACCTTCGGCCCTTCACAAATGGTGTTCTCGCTGTAACGCTGGCCACAACTCCAAATCGATACTTTGCTCAAGTCGCTCAATTTTCCGCTTTCGCCACACGACGGGCCACATATCTGGATCCGATTCCTTCCTCGTGGATGCCGTCCCCATCCTCTCCCTTCTGGCTTCCTTTGACCCAACTGCTCCTCCTCCATCTCCATCCGCCTCCTCCTTACTTACTCTCATCCAACGTGCCAAAGGCCCCCTTCTCGACTGCACAGCATGAGTATAGGCCAAGTCCTGCAACTGCCATCTGGGGATCAAGGTTTCACCCCAGGCGGCGGGCGGGACATGATTCGGAGGAATAGATGGCCGGGGTGCGTTCTGACCAGGATTTCGAGGCGAATCCAGTAGTGGCGACGAGGGCCTCCCAGGAGGCCCCGAACATGGAAAACGGGCGCAAGGTAATGCGGTGTGGGCGCCTGGTTCCCTCCTCTGAGTGTCCCCCTGCGACCGAGAAGTTGTAGTGAGTGATGATCATGGCCGCAATCATGCCGCCCCACATGAGCAGCCAGCCGAAGCGGAAGCGCAAGACCGCCAGGTAGACGACCCTGCCGCGGGCGGCTCGCAACCGATCCCCCCCCCGCGTGGGCTCCTCCTGAAATAGATGCCTCCTGGATGGGGTCGGAGCCAGATGGGGTCGGGGGATCGACCCGCATCGCCGATGCATCGGCGATGCATCGCCGATGCATCGGCGATGCCAGCGTGGAGGAAACTCGCGGTCCACATCGAGCCGCATCGCCGATGCTTCGACGATGCGGCGCGATCATCCGACCCCAGCCACTCGGACCCCATCCAGGAGGCCCAGGGCATGTCCTCCCACAGGCGGGTTCTGGAAGAAAAACAAAAAGAGTCAAACAACAATCAGGAGTAGTCAGAACATCAGGAAGAGGCGGCACCGGACTTACTCTTGAATAGAAAGGGAGACCTGCCCGACTTACGCCCAGATCAAGGGAGCCCAGAGCCGGCCGCCGTGCCGAGGCCGCTCCTAAGCAGTCCCCCCGGACCGCTCCAGGGGCCCATCCCCGGCCCGCTTCTGCTCAGAGCCGCGCCCGGCCGTGGCGACGAGCACCCCTCCGCCCCAAGGACGAGAAACCGAGGACGACGACGGAGGGGGCCCAGGGGCACACAATTAAGACACAGATCCCAGGACCCCCCATGTGTTGTGAGCATGTTCTGGACTCTCGTCCTGTCCCCCCCCCAATTCCCAGATACTTGTCCATACTCTCCTGGGGATCGACGATGATGTTAGCTCCTGCTCCTATTCCTCCTCCTACGCGTTCTTTTCTTCATTGGCCAAGTCGCGCACACGAGGTCGCACAAGCGGTCCCCCCTGTGACCCGAAAGGCTGCGGAGAAGACAAGGGGAGCAGAGGGGGAAGTGAGACGGATGCAAAAGCAAGTGCGGAGGGAGGGTGCAGAGAGACTAACTGCGCTTCACATTTGTGAATCCGCGTTTGTCTGTGTTTCTGATGTCGTGATGCGGTTAGCTCAGGATGCACCCCACGGATTCTGGAGTGCCTTGGGCGGCCCTCGCTTCTAGGGACTGCGCGGGACTGGCCTTCTCGTGCCTTCTCCCTCCTGCTCCTCCTGCTCCTCCTCCTCCTCCTCGTCCTCCTCCTCCTCCTCGTCCTCGTCCTCCTCCTGCTCCTCCTCCTCCTCCTCCTCCTCCTCCTCCTCGTCCTCGTCGTCGTCGTCCTCCTCCTCCTCCTCCTCCTCCTCATGCCTTCTCCTTCTCCTCGCCCTACTCCACGCGGAGGCACGGACCATCAGCAGCAAGCCCCGCGAAGGGCAGCAAGCGTTTTTCCAGAGGATGCGGAAACTATGGGTACGATGCCCAAGAGTAGATGTTGTCCAAAACTGACAGAGGCCGTTGTCGGGCAGGCGACCTACTGTCTCAAATGAACAGCGCCAGCCGACACCAACAGCGAGTCCTGCTGAGAATGAACAAACACCGTCGGGCAGGCGACCTCCTGTCTCAAATGAACAGCGCTCGGCCTTCGTCCCCATTCTTGCCTTATCCACCTCCACCGTCAGTAGCGTGCGGTCCTTCATCCTCGATCCTTCCGCTCCTGCACTAGAAGATCAACGGGCTGCATAGAAATGAAACTTTCGGCGCCCCGCGCGGATGTCTCGGATCTGCGCCGAACCCCACTTCCTGGCGCGCGGAACGCGCCGGAGGCGTGGTCAGGGTGGCCCCGGCGCCGGTCCAAGAAATTCGCTCGGAGCGCCGAGAATTTATGATTCCACATTTTTCTTTTCTTCGCAATCCCCGCTCCTTTCTTAGCATGGGGGAAGCGGGTCCTAGACCCTGGGGCCTTCCGCCGGGACCGTCGCTTCATCCCGACTCGTTTTCTGACGGTCCCAAGGCCCGTTGAGGGCCCCGAGAGCCCGAAAGCGGCGACCAACCTCAGGACAGGTTTCCCTCAGGACCCGTTTCCCGCCATGGCGACCTCCCGCTCAGGAGAATCTACGTTTATGCAACTTTTCTTCTTCGTGATCCCCGCTCCTCCCCTCGCATGGGGGAAACGGGTCCTGCGGGAAACGGGTCCTCGACCCTGGGGCTTGCTCCCAGAATGAACCCTTCATCCTGGGTCGTTTTCTGACAGTCCCGGGGCCCGTGGAGGGCCCCGAGAAAGCCCGAAACCGGCGAACAGCTGCAGGACCCGTTCCCTCAGGACCCGCTTCCCGCCGTGGCGGCCTCCCGTTCCTGCTCTCTGGCCCCGGGCGGAGGTCCAAGAGATCCGCGCGGAGCGCCGAGGATTCATGCTCATACGCAGCTGTTTCTTACCAGCCTCGAACGTATCCCTATCCCTAAGATTGACACGCCAAAAGGCGATGACAATCTTAGGGATTCGCCCTCAAAAAATAAGGGAATCCCTAAGATTGGCATCGTGATGAGGAGATGCCCAGCATAGGGATAGGGATATGTTCCAGGCTGGTAAGTTTCTTCTCCGAGATCCCGAACCTCCCTAGACAAGCGCGTTCCACCACTCGCACAGCAACCACTCGCAGACGGCTTGGATCCGCCGCCGGGGATTTTCGATTCATTACACAGGAGGAAGACACGTGATTCTCTCGAACGTTTGCGAGTAGGCACTTCGCGAGAAGGAGCAAATGGAGCGCGCTCGGTGCCTCCTGCTCGGGCTCTGGCCTCGGGGATCTTCTTGCCCGGGTCAATCCTGACCAGGGTCAATCAGACCGTGCAGGATCCTGCGAGATCTTGCAAGATCCTGCAGGATCCTGCTCCCAAGCCTGGGTGAATGCAACCCTGGCCCTCCGGTATCGTGCAAGATCTGGCGCTCTGTCCCCCGTCAGCATTGATCCCCGTCCCTTGAGCCCCGATGGCCAAGGGCGGCGAGCCTGCCGGGGATGCCCCAGAGCAGCAGGTGCACGAACTGGCCCACCAGTGAGGCCCGTATGGCCGCCTTTGCGCTCCCCGACGCTCGGGGCGAGGGGTGGGTGGGGGGAGGGGGTGGGGCGCGAGGCGGCGGAGCGGCGCCGACGACAGGAGGAGGAGGAGGAGGAGGAGGAGGAGGAGGAGGAGGAGGAGGAGGAGGAGGAGGAGTCCGTAGCCATTTTGTCTCAAGGCTAAACGTTGTGAAGGGCTATAGACGCCCGAGAACCAGCGATTAGCTTTGGGGCTTCCGTAGCCTGTCTGGCTCAGACGGCTTGGGGCGCCCGCCGCCCACGGAGACCACCGAAGTCCAGCAGCGATGGGCGGTTGGTGGGCGTACCAGACGCAGTTCGTGCAGCCCAAGAAGAGGCAGTACATCGTCTGCAGCGCATGCAAATAATGGCAGTACCTCAATAAAGCAAAGAAGAAGGTCTTCTGTCTCTGCGGGAAGCCTTTCGACCTCCCAGGTGGACACTCAGGCAACCATGCAGGTCAGGGCGACGAGAAGAACAAGGGCAAGGACAAGGAGGGCGGCCTCGGGGACGTCAAGGAGATCCTCACAGCCCTCCTCAGCACCTTGACCACCGAACAGAAGAACGCCCTCGGAGACAAAGTACAGAAGCTCGAAGGCATCACCGCCCCGGAGCAGAAGAACCCCGCGATCTCGGCAACCCAGGCACTACAGAAGGTACGCCAGTTGGAGAAGAAGCAGCTTGACCTCACCGCCACAGTGGACCGCCTGGCAGCCGAGCTCAGAGCGACACAGGGAGAGCTGAAGGACACGACCACCGAGCTCAAGGGGGCCCGCGACACCTTCGAGAAGGCCAGTGTGGAGGCCTCCGCGAAGTGGGCCAGCGGCGGGCCTGACCCCGCCAAGGCCCCCGAGGAGCAGGAGCCCATGGATGAGGACGACGAGGAGGAGATCGAGATCCCAGCCATGCCTGTGGTCCCCGAGGACCTCAATCGCCACATGCAGGATCTCAAGGGCGAGCAGGGCGACCAGGCTAAGGCCTTCCTCGAGCAGCTCACAGCAGCCTCCGCCAAGCTGCCCTCCACGAAGCTCAAGGTCAAGAAGGCGAAGCCCAAGCAGGCCACCAGCGTAGATCATCGTGGTCGCCCTGCAGCAGGCACGCATGGAGCAGCCCGTCCAGGCCCTGGTGGAGATCGTAGGAGCCGAAGCTGTCCCAGGGAGCGGGGGGGAGCTCGCGACTGCTGAGCAGGCCAATCGGCCACCTCAGCGGGCTCCCCCCGAGCTCATGACAGAGTTTCACCTCTACCACGCCAATGTCACCAAGTGGAATGACAAAGCCAAGAAATATTTACAGTCTTCTGATTTTGGGCTACCTCAGGTCATCTTGTTAGGGGAGACACACTTGACTTCAGGGAAGCTGGGAGAAACACGTAAATTCACGGGTAAGCTTGGCTACAAAACTTATCAGTGCCCCGCCACAGCCACCTCAGGTGGCGGGGAGTCAGGCGGAGTCGGGGTCTTCGTCACTCGACAGTTTCACTCGCATGCACGAGTCATGATGGGAAAGGGCAACAAGAGGCCACTGGTGGGGGGCACCAACTGGACCGCTTGTGTGATTCGTACGAAGGCCCGCAACCTAGTTCTGCTCACCGTCTACCTCCAGTCGGGGGTCGGCTACAACAGTTTCAACATCAAGGTAGTGAAGGAGATTTCGGTTTTCCTCACCTCCCTGGACCCCCCGTACATCATCTCGGGAGATTTCAATATGGTCCCCCAGGAGCTCCTGGCAGGCCACCCCTGGGTCGGGAAAATCTCAGGTGTCAACAAAACCGCGAACATCGAGACCTCGTGTCAGAACGGTCGTCTCATCGACTACTTCATCATCCACAACTCGATCTCGGACTACCTGTCCGTAGAGACAGATTTAACCAGTCCGTGGAAGCCACACATCGGACTTAGAGCAGTTTTCCGAGTGGGGGCACTCCATCGCCAGGGATGGTTTCCTCGGCAAGCCGCCTCAGTCAAATCATCAGCAGCCCCGGCCAGCCCGTGGGCGCACTATTGGTACCAGGCGCAGCTAGACCAGCACAGGACGCCGCAGGTGCAATATCCCATCGCAGAAGAGTTCGCCAGCAACACCCTCACCCACCAGTATGGCCTCCTCAGTCGGGCCCTCGAGGGTTGGTGTATCGGGACCCCTGCAGGAACCCAAGAAGGCTACAGTCGTGGGGACGGTTTCGAGGTCGTGTGGAGGGACATCCTTCCTCCCACACCCTTGCAACATCGGCTACATCATGAAAGTCATCAGTGGGGAGTGGTCCAGCAGCGGGCCCAAGAACGAGACCATCTCCTTCAACACCACCCGGCCTCTAGAGAGCTCTTGAGGGTCCAGGGGTACCTCACCTCCACCCTGCAGGCGAGCCCAGTGTGGCCACCAGGCCTTCTGCCCACTACGCAGGCCCTGGTACAGTCTTATTTGGCAGGCGCGAGTGCGACGACATCGTGGCCAGATGCTCGTTTTCAGCTCGAGCTGATCGTTCAGCACTTCGATAAGGAAGCCTTGATGCAGAAGGAGGCTGCATTCAAGACATGGTTACATGATTCCCTCGCTCACGGGGGAGGTGGCGCACGCCATATCACCAAGGTCCCTGGGCCCGCCCCAGAAGAAGACAACGACGTTTTCAGCTCGGTCGACGGGGAGATTATCACAGACCCCCTGAAGGTCCTGAATCACAAAAGCGAGTTTTGGTTGCAGTACTGGGACCCAGATAAGATCCACCCCGACAAGCCCCTCGAGGCCCCGTGGCTCCAGGATCTTCGCCAGCAAGCAATGGAGTCCTGGGGCTCCTCTCAGAATTGGAAGCCAGAACAAGTTCAGAAGGCCCTCGGGAGTTTCTCGGGCAACTCTGCACCAGGAGCGGACCAGTGGCGAGTAGCAGATTTCCGTCGGCTTCCCCCTGAAGGATTGGAGATCCTCACAAGCATCATCAATGACATGTGTAGGCTGCAGCAGTTCCCAGCCCAGTGCCTAGTCAATCTGGTGGCCCTGAAACCGAAGACAGAGGTCAGCGACCGCCCCATCACCCTGACGAGCGCCCCACACCGTGTGACGATGCGCCTATTCAAGGGCCAGGTCTCCCCCTGGGAAGAGGCACGGGCAGGTTTCTGGGACGCAGCCATCAAAGGCAGTGATTGTTTAAGGGCGGCCCTCGTCAGCGAGCTCTTTGCAAAGATCAGCAGCTCTCTCAAGTGCTCCATCATCGAGGGCGTTTTAGACCTCGAAAAGTTTTTCGACACCATCCGCCAGCACAAGCTGGCTGAGAAGGCGCTCGCACTAGGCTACCCTGTTGTCCCACTGGCGCTGGGCATGATTATTCACACGTGCGCCAGAGTCCTCACAACACCGATTGGAGTCAGCGAGCCCCTCATCCCGATGGCCTCAATCCTCCAAGGGTGCGGACAAAGCGTCTCCTGGACTAGGGCCCTCCTGTACGACGTCCTCGAGTTGGCCCACTACCGGATCCCAAGGCCCACGATCCGAACCTGGGTTGACGACATCAGGGTCCGTCTTGTCGGGAGCCCAGAGGCCCTGAAAGTTGCCTTCCCAGAGCTCATCTTGCAGTTATGTGGAGGACTCGCTGACCTAGGATGCCGTCTATCTGGTAAGTCTGTGGCCTTGGCCAGCTCCAACGACATCAACGCTGCGGTCGTCGAACAACTCAATCAAGCAAGGGTCCAGATCCGACCCGTGCAGCACGCCCGAGACCTGGGGGTCGACACCACGATCGGGAAGAAAAGGGTCCTGGGAGTCCGCCGTGCCCGTCGTCGTCTCGGAGCGCAGAGACACAAGAACATCAACAGCTTGGCCAAGGCTACAACCAAGGCGCGGTCATTTTTCCGTACAGGCGCCCTACCGCAACTGAAGTGGGGCATGGAGGGACACGGATCAGCGCCGACCGAAGTCCAATATTTTCGCCGATTGGCTGGCGCGGCGCATGGAGTATCTAAATCAGGGGCCTGCCTCACTACTGGCCTCCACGCCCGTCCAGGACACCCATCTGACATGGATCCAGGGATTTATCTTCGGGTTCAGCTTTTCAAGATGTGGTTTCGGGTGGTCAACGCTGAACTTAACATCCTCGGAGGCATCCAGAAGTCTTGGGAGATCCTGAGGGAGAAACCCAAGAGACCATCGCGGTGGCGCATGGTTAAGTCCCACCTGTCCGCGGTCATCGCCACCCTGTACGACATAGGCTGGACCCCGACCTCGGCGTGGCTCTGGAGGGACCCCGAAGGCCTAGAGTTCCCCGTCAAGCCGCTGAGCTGGGACCAGCAGAAAGTTTTCATGTTTCACTTGGGGTTCCTCTTGAACATGCATGTCTGGAAGACGACTTACCCCCTCAGCCACAACTCAGGAGGCCTCCAGGGGGGGGGGGGGGGACGTGCACTCTCTTCGGCTCTACCCAACCAGAAAGCGAGCAGCTATCAAGAAGCGCGAGAAGCAGCTAGCCGAGAACCCCCCTCCCCAAGCCCAGCAAGTTCAAGCCCAGGAGGAACTCCAACGAGAGGCAACATTTCCAGCAGCTTTAGAGGCCGTCTCTTGCTCGAGGTGCTGGAGCGCCCACCGCAGGTTTGAACGTGGCCAGCAGAACGACGCCGAGTGTCCCCTCTGCGGTCAAGAACATGGAGATGATTTACAGAAATATTGGACGTGTCCTGAATTGGAGGGTCTCAACATCCCCGCCATCAATCGTACCCGGGCCTCCATAGGCCGCGCTGTGGCTGAACCCCCTACGAACCCTAGCCTCTGGCTCCGAGGAATCATCCCAGCCACGGTCCTCCGTCAACATCATGGGCACATCCTGGGGCTTAATCAGGACACGGTCCGACAAGGAGTATTTGAACAGCATGCAATTTACCAATTTGATGACTGGCAGGTGGCAACTACAGACGGCAATGGTGGGCCTGACACGAAGGACCCGCGAATCAGAGTCTGTGGCTGGAGCGTATCGTTGTGGGCACATGACCTCACTTGGAAAAGGAGTACCCAGGGAAGGACC